ATTGTATTTTTCCAAAGCCTACGTGATTAACTATAAAAATAAAAACATTAACATGTTTTTTGTGATTATTTCAAAAACTATAAGGGATAGGTATAGGACATGTTGATAAAAGTCCTTCTACAAATTGATGTAGTTTTGATTGCCGTTGAGAAAATAGAGTCATTTCATTTGAAAAAACTGAGTTAAAGCTGTTTGTTAATGATCATTTTCAAAAAATCATACTAGCCTTGCAATTTGACAGTCAACAATTTTGAAAATTCTAGAAAACCTTTCGAACCTTTGGTTTTCGAATGCAACAAAAAATATTCACTTATCGCAAAGGGTTCAAGAGCTGTGATGTTTTGAATGAACCCCTGCAAGTGAAAATTTTGACCAAAAAATTGACATATGTCAAAAACTATGATAGTTAAGTACTAACAACTAGGTACATTTTACTTAGTTTAAAGAGGAGAATTCAAAAATGCAATAAAAATAAGTGGGTACCATTTAAAATTTCAAAGTTGGCGCCAATTTCTCGTAGTTCCGGAAGTTCAGCCATTTTGAAAATAATTTAGTTGAACTCAGACTGGTTGATTTGGGTTGTGTACAAAATTTCAAATTCCTATCTGCATTAGAAGTTAAAAAGTTTCTAATGTAGGCCCTAAAAGAATCACCTTGTATACAATAACAACAATACAATATAAAAATAAAATGTATGTAACCTAAAATGTGACCCGCCAATAATGTTTGTATATTGTGTTGCATATCTTCAGACGAACTAATTTTTCACTTTCGAAATTCACATCTGCATGATTTATTCAATAGGGAGACTGAACATATTTAATACGAATTTTAGTCAGTGTTAGAGCGGGTATGTATAAGAAACCAATTTATTTAATAAATTCTCCATTTACATTATACAATAAATTATTCATTAGCTAGTAACAATAAAAAAAATTAAAATCCAAACGGTATTGTATCAAAGTTTTCTAAAATAACTCTCTTGTCATAAACAAAACCAAATTCTTTTGTTTCTATTTTATTTAAAAGTTCTTTAGTTTTAGTATCTCTGGTAATTCGATTATATTGTGTACTAATTTTTTTGTCTTTATATTCTAAAATATTATTTATACTATCGGAATTAATCTGTTCGGACGTTTCATAGTTTAACGTAAATCCTTTTATTTTACAAACAACTTTACCTGTATTAGTCTTATAACAATAACTTTTCGGGCCTGTTGATATCCAGTCTATTATCCATACACCTTTACCTAATTCGTCCAATCTCCTAATAGACAGCCTGTTTTAACAGTGTTTTTTCCATCATCTATATATACAATACTATCTGTGTCATAATATGCTACGCTTTTTCCTAATTTATCTAACATTTCGTATAATCTTAGTCTTGCGTTTGCAGTTGTAAAAGCAGATATAAATATATTGGTATTGAAATCATTTTCTATATAGCAATCTTTTAACTTATAATCAATTTGTAACATATTTTCATTTATATCGTTTATACGTATATTCAAGTTTCTCGTCTAATAAAATTTCATAAAACCTTTTAACATCTGTAACATATTCTGTTGCACCCATATTTTGTCTTTGCCCAAATTTACTCCATAAGGAATTTAAGCATATTTTCGCAACAGCTCTCTTTCCAGGATTATTTTCTATTTTACCCAATTCGATCATCCTGCCAAGGACTTGTTTCTAATTTAATTTGCATAAACGCTTTCACATATCCTTTAAATAAATTTGATGATTTTTTGTAAAAATGCCAAACTTCAGTATTTGATTTTTCATCAAACCCGTCAACTTTTGATCCACATATTTTCACTTCACCATTGTTCAATCCGTGTTTTATATTTGGGTTATGAAAACTATTTAACCATGAAATAGATTGTTGAGAATATTGATCTTTTTTCAGATTATCAACAACAGCTATTGTATCTTTCTTAATATATTTTGATCTATATATAGCCATACAAACACCAGCAATAGTAATATATCTAAAAGGATCTATATTAGCAATTTCTAGAAACTGATTTCTTAATTCAAGACATCCTCTTCCTAATATATCAACATCAGAATTACAATAATCATAAAGTTCTTTTTTAAAATCAAACAAATAATTTTCTTTTCTTTTTTGTTTATGCCATTCTAAAAATTCATCTCTTTCTTTTGGTTTCATAGAATTAACACCATAGTATTTTGTATCAGGTATTTTTCCAATATAGTTCTGATTTTCTGTTGTATTGAAGAAATGTGGAAAATATCCTTTTTTTTTAGACCAAATGTTTTAGGGAAGTTTTTTAAAGGTCCTTGAACAAAATTACTACTATCAATAATTCTTAAATTAATTGATTTTATATTCATTAACATTATTTTAGATCCATTATATACGCAGAAAGGTTTGATTCCGTTTTCAACGCAATATTTTAGAATAAAATAAGAATCATAACCTTTTCCATAATGTGCAATGGCTGTGTGTCCTTGATGACCTCTAGAAATTAACCATTTACAGAAATCTTTCCGCTAAAATCGTGAGATATAAATAAATTAGCGATGTGTTTGCCTGTTTCTTGCATCGCTTCATAATCAAAGAATAAATATTTTTTTGTATAGGTACAATGATTTGTATGCCTTGTAGAACCACAGTTAACACATCTAAATGGTTTCGTATCATTCAGTGGTTTTTTATTACAATTTTTGCATTCACAGCATTGATAAGCCCAATAGTTTTTGTTTTCAATTTTTTCCTTAGAGTATATTATAGTACAACCTTTTTCGTTACAATTTTTACAACTGTGTATTCCTTGTCATTTTCTTTTATTTTTGTTTGGCAGATTCCACCTTTTTGTCGTTTCCATTGCATATAACATTTATGTTTTAATATTTCAACTTCTTTACAACAATGTATATTTTTTATAAGAAGTATGTTTGGTTAGTCAATTTAAAAGATATGACTTATGATAAAGAACCGAAATTAATTAAAGATTATTTATATTTTTTGCCAGATGATTTTAAAGAAGTTTCGCATATTTATCAAAGACCTTCAGGTGATGTTTTAATAGTTGTTAAAAATTTATATTATTTARTTGATTTTCCAAGTTTTAATGTTAAAAGTGGATACAATGGTCAATCTATTGAWAATTTAGGAATACCAAAAGGAAAAAGAATTGATGCGATATTTAGAACTTATTCTGGAAAAACATATATATTTTATGATAAAGTTTTATATATTGAGTTTGATGAGTGTTTGTTTAGATCAAAGAAAAACGGCCTTATTTCAGAATTATTTGGTGGAATACCTCCAAATATAAACAGAGCATTCAGATATAGAAATTTATATTTCTTTAAAGATAAAATGTTTTACGAATTTGATGATATTTCGAATACGTTAGTTAAATCTGATAAATTTGACTTGACAGTTTTTGGATTTAAATGTGGTCTTATCGATCAAATAATAAAACTAATTAATTGTTTGTGATTCTTATAATCGCGTTTTTTATTCTTCAAGAACGAGTTGGAAACTTTCCCAGTCGTCAAATGATTTGTAGAATTTTTCTGAAGCGTATACCGTTTGGGTATGCACCAACTCATATGATTCTTTTAAATAAATTTTATCTACTTTTGACATAAGTAGTTTTATAATTATCCTAATCCTCTATTATTACTATAACAGGTTAAAGTCTTTGAAAAAATGTTAATTCAAATCGGGGATGTTTACCCTTGAAAATCGGAGTGTTTTCATGATTTTTTTTGCTTTTCTGTTTACCACTGAAAATCGGGGTGTTTTTCCATAAAAAGTGCTGTGTGCTGAAGGGCCTCACTGCTTTTTATTTACCCCTTGAAAATCGGGGGTGTTTTCCTTAAAAATAGCTGTGTCCCCAAGGGGTTAATAATGTTAATTTTAAAATATACCTTTAAAATCGGGGGTGTTTTCACGATATTTTACAATTTTCTGTTTAGACTTGAAAATCAGGGTGTTTTCACGATTTTTTGCGCTTTTCTGTTACCCCTTGAAAATCAGGGTGCTACATTACAGACTATTTAGGTATAAAAACATGCTACGCTCTGTTGAAATTGTGATTACATTGTAATAATTACAAAAAAATTAAAAAAAAATGTTGTTATTATTTATAGACAGCGACAGAAAAACCAACAAATCTTGATTGATCATCTCATCTGAATCACCCTGTTGATTACATTTTGAAAATCTGCGACAAAAAGTACTAAAATGATTTTAAAAATGACAGTTTTTACTTTTACTTTTTATCTAAAATTAATATTTGGCCAAAGTTTGATTCGTTATTGTTATACTTGAATAAAAAATAAGGAATATTTTTATATTTTTTTTCTCTAGATAAATGGCTGAAACACCACAAATTTTGCTGTTTTTACTTGAAATTAGTAAGGGAATTCAGGTCTGTACTTATTTTGTACTTACAATTAGTTGTTTTCAAAATATCGGTCAAAATTCAGGTGTTGTGGTAAAAACTTAAAACACTGAGAGCACATTTAAGAATTTGTTTTGTCAAAGAAAACAACTTGAGGTTTAACTTTTAACTTTTCTTATGTAAAATTGTCAGAAAATTCCAAATCTGTTTTTACTTTTTATCTAAAATTAATATTTTTTGAGATATTGGTCAAAGTTTGGTTTGTTATTGTTAAAGTTGGATAAAAATTGAGAGATATTTTTATACTTTTTTTGTCGAGATAAATGGCTAAAACACCACAAATTTTGCTGTTTCTGTCTTGAAATTGGCTGGGGAATTTAAATCTGTACTTATTTTTTACTTACGATTAGTTGTTTTTAAACTACCGGTCAAAATTCAGTTTGTTGTGGTAAAAACTGAAAGCAATGAGAAGCACATTTAAGAATTTCTTTGTCAAAGAAAACAGCTTGAGGATTTGAAATTTAAACTTTTCTTACGTAAAACTGTTAGAAGATTCTAAATCTGTTTTTACTTTTTATCTAAAATTAATATTTTTTAAGATATTGGTCAAAGTTTGATTCGTTATTGCTAAAGTTGAATAAATAGTGAGGGATATTTTTATATTTTTTTTTGTCAAGGTAGATTTCTAAAACACCACATATTTGACTGTTTCTGACTTAAAATTGGCTAAAGAATTCAAGTCTGTACTAATTTTTTACTTACGTTTAATGGTTTTTTAAATATTGGGCAAAATTTTGTTTGTTGTGGTAAAAACTTGAATAAGCGCGGAGAAGCACATTTAAGAATTATTTTCGTAAAAAAAACAGCTTGAGGATTTCAAATTTAAACTTTTTTTACGAAAGATTGTTAGAAGATTCCAAATCTGTATTTACTTTTTATCTAAAATTAATATTTTTTGAGATATTGGTCAAAGTGTGATTCGTTATTGTTAAACTTGAATAAAAAGTGAGGAATATTTTTATAATTTTTTTTGCCGAAATTTTATCGTTCTCCAAAATTTTTCACGGGCGAGACTTCAGCTTCACTGACCTCGTCCTTTTACTTTTTTACAGAGGAATAATGTTTAAATCCTCTTCCTTCTGTATATTTTTCCATTGGAAACAGGAAAAAATTTTAACAGTGAACATTTCAATTTTTTAATCTTGTAATTTTTTTATTTTAAAGTGTAACAATTTTCAACGGCTGATGATGGCGCAAGGGTGTCGAAACATGTCCCAATTTGACTAAATAAAAATTTATCGATTTGTGGAGTTGACTTTAATGTTACTTACTCTGATTAAAATTACAAATTTTATTGTTTCTGACTTAAAATTGGCTGAGAAATTTAAATCTCTTCTTATTTTTTTCTTGCGTTTAGTGATTTTTAAAATATTGGTCAAAATTTAGTTTGTCGTGGTAAAAACATGAAGCACTGAGAAACACATTTAGAATTTTTTTTCGTCAAAGAAAACAGCTTGAGGATTTGAACTTTTAACTTTCCTTATGTAAAATTGCCAGAAGATTACAAATCTGTTTTTACTTTTTATGTAAAATTAATATTTTTTTAAATATTGGTCAAAGTTTAATTCGTTATTGTTAAACTTGAATAAAAAGTGAGGGATATTTTTAATTTTTTTTTGTCGAGATAGATAACTGAAACACCACAAATTTTGCTGTTTCTGACTTGAAATTGACTGGAGAATTCAAGTCTGGACTTATTTTTTACTTACGATTAGTTGTTTTAAAAAATTCAGTTTCTTGTGGTAAAAACTTGAAACATTAAGTAGCATATTTAAGAATTTTTTCATCAAAGAAAACAGCTTGAGGATATGAAACCTTTACTTTTCTTATGTAAAATTGTCACAGGATTTCGATTCGGTTTTTACTTTTTACCTAACATCAATATTTTTTGAGATATTGATCAAAATTTGATTCGTTAGTTTTAAACTTGAATAAGAAGTAATAAGACATACATTTATAAATTTTTTGTAAAGATTTATTGTCATTCTCTTAAAATTAGACAAGGAATTCAAATCTATGTTATTATTACTAAATTTGGCTGAGGAATCGTACCTACACTCTATGTAAATTAATTTCCGATTTGGAGATAACCCAGTCTTCATTAATTTTAAGTATTTTGTGATCAACCCTCACAAATACAACGCAATTACGCCCCACTTAAACAAACACAACTTATCATTTATCATATTTCGTTTCGTATTTACCGAAAATAAACACGAAATAATGACCACTTGCACCTGTCCACCAGATTTCCATAAACAATTCATTTGTTTACAATGCATCGAACGGAAATCCCAGTCTCTTCAGACCTCTACCACGTCCTCCAGCCCTTCATTTTCGTGACTCGAGCATTCGGTTTCATGCCGATTGCGGCCTCGAAAAAGGGGGCTCACTATGTGGTCTACTTGTCCCGGCTTTACACAGCTTACAGCTACGCCCTTGGCAGTTTTATGAGTAAAAAAACACCCCCACTTTGCCCTTGGACTAGCTCTGTTGTAGTGTTTTGGTCACTCGGGGGGCTCCACGAGGACTTTCACGCGAGCAATTCGGTGAGGATGAGCAACTCTACTGTGAAATACGTCACTTTGATCGACTTGGGGGAGGTGATGGTGACGGTTTTCATCGGGATTGTGGTCACCCCATTCAAGATCAAACACTTGTGGAGGTTGTTGACCTGTTTTCATAAAATCGACGCAATGATACCACCAAAAAGAATCAAAAAAGAGAGAAAAATCGTGATAATTTCGATGGTTGTGGCGATTTTGTGTGTTTTGTATGTTTTGACCTACGAGTTGTATTTGTGGGGGGAGGTTTCGAACAAAAATGGGCTATATTGGGTCTTTATGAAACGGTATTTTATCCTCTTTTCCACTTATTTCATGGTGTTTATTGAGGAAATGCCTTATTGGAATTTCACAAGACTGATTAGGAGACGAATCGAAGCTTTGAACGAAGTTTTGAGGAGGGGTTTGGACGTTTTTAGGAGTTTTACCAAATTGTGGATCACTCCGGTCAAAATGAAAAAAAACTCCGGGAGTTTTGGGAGTAAGAAATTGCAAGTCACTTCAATTTATTGAAATTTCTAGTCCTCAGTTACGACAAAGTTGTCAACTTGATGAAAATCTACGAACTTATTGGGGATTCAGTTGACGCAACTAACGACTTTTGTGGTGTCAGCATTTTGGTTAAACTCCCATAAAAATTTTCAAAATCTTCCTCAATTTTTCTTTTTAGTGTATCATGTTTAGTTGCCTCATCCACCTCGTAGTAACCCCCTACTTTCTCCTCGTGGAGGTCGCAAATGGGGGCTTTTTCTTCTTTATTTTTTTGCAGTTTTCGTGGACGATGCTGCATTGTGGCCGACTTATGGTTATAGTTGAAACGTGTCAATATTGTCTCGATGAGGTTTAAAGTTGATTTTTTATGACAAAATGTTTCATTTTTGGATTTCAGCATCAGAAAACCGTCGAATTGGTGTTCAAATTGTTGTCTTGTGAGTTGCAAGAGGATGTCAAAGACCAAATGAAACTTTTTGCTTTACAACTCTCGGGCCGCAAAGTGAGGTTTACGTCGTTTTCGATGATGAAGTTTAATCGGTCTTTGTTAACTGCGGTAAGATGAAAAAACTCAACTCGTGACTTTATTTATACAGGCTGTATTAGAAAAAACGCCCCAAGCTATTATAATTTTATTACTTTTAAAGAAATTATAATACTTTATTGCTCAAAGTTGAACAGTTTTTCGTTATCAATCGTTTGCTTGTCTTAGATAAAATGAGTAAAAATTCTTTCCACAGGCTTTAATTTAATTTTTAAATTGCCTAAAATCAAAAGTTAGTGATAAATAATAATAGTAAGTGAGCTTGTTGAAAGACTATTTAATGAGGAATTAAAAAATAATAAAATATACAGGGTGTTACATTTAAAAAACTGAAATTAATGTCACTTCCGGGGAAACATGAAGCAGTATTAAATAAGCAGCTGTCCCAAACAATGAATGCCAAAAAACTGTTTAACTGTGGTCTAAAAAATATTGTTATATCTTTAAAAATAAAAGAGTTATGGCTTGAGGCGTTTTTTATAATACAGCCTGTATAATAATCAAGTTTTTGGTTTCTTTGCTCAACAGTAACACAAAGCAATGTAAAAAAATTCATAATGAATAATGTTTTTTTAACAAATTAAAAAAATCTTAAATACATACTTTTTTACAGGGTGTTTCAAAATATGTTTGGTTTAGTTTTTTTTTTAAGGAACATTACATACATATTTCTACGTTATTTGACTTAAACTTATGATTTAATTGCCAATTTGTAGTTTAATTTTTTATTTAATTTTTTTTATTCATGTTCAGAAATACAAATTTTTACTTTTTTTGTAAATTGCGGCAAAACTGTACTTCAAAGGTACAATATTTTGACGTAAACATACCAGGTGAATAAAAGTATAGAACCAAGCGTTTTTTTGTAAACTATCCAGTTTACGAAAAAAATAATTAGTGTAGCGTAAAGTACTTAATTAATGTAATCATTAATCAAGAATAACATTTTTCGAAATTTCTTTTAGTTTTCGAAACAAATTTTTTTTAATGACAACCCACTATGATAATTAATTTAAAAATTTTCAATTTTAAGATTGATTTATATAACATTTTTTACACTTCTTGAGGTCCTAAAGACTTTAAAAAAATGCATAAAACGTTATTATTTTTTTATGTACGGGGTGCGCCAGAACTCTCGCCCCAGAGAAAAATATAAGGTAAGATACCAGGAACATGGAAAAAATGTTAAAAAAATTCTATCTATAAAAAATTCGAAGTTATGAGAGTTTGAATTTTGCACTTTGACTCTATTTATTTTTGTTGGAAACATAATTTTCCAATTTTTTTTTGCTACAGGCTATTAGAAGAGAAAACAAGGAAGCTGTATCCTAAATTGTAACTCTGTTCAATGTTATTTGTGACAAAATTTTTGTAACTTTATTAAATAATTGTTAAAAAACATATACAAGATTATCAGTATCATTAAATAAACATAAAAAAATGTCAAAAAATAAATGTCAAAATTTTTTGACAGATAGAATTTTTTAAACATTTTTTTCATGTTCCTGGTATATTATCTTACTTGAATGTTTTCTCTGGGGCGCGAGTTCTGGCGCACCCTCTATACTAACATAATTTAACCAAGTTTTATTTTTAAGTATTGTTCCCGGCGCATCCACCATTTTTGTCACCAGTAAAACATTTCATTACGAATTCATTTCTTACAATTTTAATTTTTGTTTCTGGAAAAAGCCATTTATATCGTATCAAAGTGTAAACATTGATACACATAAATATAATTTGTTTTTTATAAACAATTCTAATGTCAAAATAATTGATAAAACCATGCTGTAAATTTAACATACGACGCTACTTCCACCAACTTAACAACACTTTAACAATTGTTTACAAAAAATAAACAATGCATTAATTAAATAATTTATTTTTAAAACGTAATTAAATTCCAATAATTAATTATTATTTTTAATTTGAAGATTGGTGGTTCAATAACAACGTTTCTGGTAATCCTCTTCCAATTCGGAAGTGTTGGAAGCGACGTCTACTATTCCCGCGATTAAATAAACCATTTGAAATAAATAACTACGTACAAACTATTACTTTATTCTTTAATAATCCCTCTTCAATAATTAAAAAAATCCTTGAGAAGTTTTCTAAAGCAGTGTTTTGGTGTCGTTGCTACGACATCATTGATTCCTGGATCAACTATAAAACGTTTAATCACTTGAAGACAAATTTCAAAACAATGGAACGTTGGGAGGGTAAAATTGCAATAGTGACCGGTGCTAGTACCGGAATTGGGGCCGCAACGTCCAAAATTCTAGTCCAAAAAGGACTCAAAGTAAGTCTTTTGTAAATCACAAAGAAAAAATACTAAAATTTTTGATCAGGTTGTTGGACTAGCGCGCCGAGTCGATCTAATCGAAGAACTAACCCTAAGCTTGACGGACGCCCCTGGTGAACTCTACGCTGTCAAATGTGACTTAACCAAAGAGGAAGAAATCTTGGAAGCCTTCAAATGGGTGAAGGACAATCTCGGACCGGTCCACATTTTGGTCAACAATGCGGGCTTCATCAGGCCCACCAACCTTCTAGGTCAGTTGGTAACATTGAGTGTCAAAGTTACGTCCGTGTGGCCAACTTAATTTCAGAGGGTTCAACCGAAGACTGGCGTCTCACTTTTGACGTAAACGTAATGGCAATGTGCATTTGCACTCGTGAGGCTGTCAAGGTCATGCGTGAGAATAACATAGCCGGCCATGTAATAAACATGAATTCAGTCGTGGGTCGATACCCTGTGTGTCTACCCACGCCCACCCTTAACGTCTACCCTGCGTCTAAGTATGCGGTTACGGCGCTTACGGAAAACATGCGACAAGAAATGCGTTATTTCAATACGGGGATTAAAGTTACGGTAACGTAACGTAAGCAAGTTGGGACCAGTTTGGGGATTTTTGGGTTTTAGAGTATCAGTCCAGGGATTGTTATTTCAGAGTTTCAGGAGGGGTTTTGCAAGGATGGGACTAAGGAGGCTATGAGGAATGGACCGGTACTTTACCCCGAAGATGTCGCCGACGCCATTATTTATACTTTGTCAACGCCGCCTCATGTTCAAGTATCGTGTTTGGGGAAATTTGTTTTTTTTAATTGTTTTTTTCAGGTTCATGATATTTTTATGCACCCACTGGGGGAGATGATTTAGTAAGTTTTCTTGTTATGAAAATAAATGATTGTTGTTAATTGTCATTAATGATTTACATAACCTCAAGACTAAAAAATAAAGTTAGACGTAAACGCAACAGTAAAAAACACATTTTTTTTATTATGCTGATTTTATTGTTACGTCAAACAAAACAGTAAAAAATCAAATAAAACAGCAATGTTGTTTATAACTGTAATAATATTTATTAAAATAGTTCGCCAAGAGGATGGACGGTCAATTCGTGCACCTGAAAAAACAAACGCAACAGTAACGTAACGTAACCACGTAACGTAACATACCTGAACTTGTGGCCCCGTTGATAAAATATAAACCACAGCTTCTGCGATATCTTCAGGTCGTAAAGCTGGCATTCCTGCTAAAGCTTCCTTCGTCCCATCCTCCGGGAACCCATCCTGAAACTCAGTCCGGACCACTCCCGGACTTATACTCTGCAACAACGTAACGTAACTTATCGCAATCATTGACATAACACAACTTACCGTAATTTTAATCGGCAACTTATTATACCGTAATTCTTGTCGCAGACTTTCAGTCAGGGCCGTAACGGCGAATTTCGAAGCCGGATAGACGTTGAAATTCGGCTGGGGCATATTGGGCACGTAATGCCCTGCAATAGCATTCATGTGGATCACGTGACCGTAGAGATTATTCTCGCGCATGATTCGGATAGCTTCACGGGTGCAAATACAGAGTGCCATGACGTTGACGTCAAAGACGCGACGCCATTCGTCGGTTGCGCCTTCTGGAATGACGTGTGTTAGGAGGGGGGAGTAGTGGGGATGAGTGGACTCACCTAGGAGATTAGTAGGTCTGGTTAGACCGGCGTTGTTGATGAGGACTTGGACAGGGCCTACGTTGTCCGTCACCCATTTGAAACACTTGAGGATGGCTTCCTCACTGGTGATGTCACAACGGAGGGGGAAGAGCTGACCAGGGGCGTCGGAGAGGTCGGCGGCTAGCTCTTGCATGCGCTGGATACGCCGCGCCAGACCTACAACCTAAAAAACAAAAAAATTGTAGCACGAACGAACACAGCGAGTGAGAATAACAGTATAGTTATGTAAATATGTGTTTTTTAGAGGAGTAGTTGATTTTCAACTAAAAGCGTAATTTCATTTAGCTTTTTTCAAATGACAGTTTTCATTGTGCTTCGATACAACAATCATTTATAATAACCCTGTATTTGAACAACCGCTCATAAATTTAGTTTAATTAAAAAAAGGTATTTCGGAGGGTGAGAATTAAACTTGACTCACCTTGAATAAAAAAGAGACAAGTTTGTTTAGGACACTCTGTACCTTAATGCGGAAAATTTTTAGAATTTACATAAAATCACCTTATATGTCACAGGATGGCACAAAAAACAATTACATATTTTTTGTAGTTGGCATAACTGCGTTGATAAGAATTATTTTCAACCAAAAGTGTAACTTCATGTTTCCAGGACCGAATTTAGCTTTTTCAAATGAAAAAAAATTGAATTTAAACACATCCACAAATAATTATGAACGAATTCAATAAAATTAGGCAAATTTTCACTTGTTTGAACAAGAATTATTTTTAAAGTAAAAGTGTAATTTCATTTTATATCAACGTACAAACTGCTATCAAAATGTAAAATTTTATAACAAAAAATTGAAAACAGATGGCAAATTTTCTTTTGTTTTTCATTGTACTCCAAAATGACAATCATTTATAGTAACCCTGCATTTGAACAATCGCTCATGAATTTAATTTAATAATTAAAAAGAGGTGTTTTGCGGGATGGGAATAAAACTTGACTCACCTTGTACAAAAAAGAGACAAGTTTGTTTAGGACACTCTGTATCTTAATGTGTAAAAAATTAAAAATTTACATAAAAAAACCTTGAATGTCACAGAGTGGGACAACAAATAATTATACAAAGTGATCATGATTGAATGAATCTGTTGGCAATCGTGACTTTAATTTTTAAAGGAAACTATTGGAGTATGCTTTTCATTAACCACAATTTAACAATCTTGAGAGGTTGTACGTCAAGTATTTGTCAAACAAAACGGTATCAGTTTGCAGTGTTACAAATCATAAACAAAAATACTTTCAAATCTGCCAACTTAAACGATCCTAAATGATCACGCTGTATACAGGGTTATTCATAAATATGAAGCAATATTTGAACCTCAAAAATGACATATAAAATGATGTTAATTTAAATAATAACTCGTGTCCTATCTCTACTGATAAGAATTTTACAGCTCTCGGAATGTGGGTATGGAAATTTGATTTTTTTGTAATAACTTTGGAACTATTTGACCAAATATTATAAAATTTGGAACATTTCCCTGTGACAACATACCCTTTGAACTGGTAATCACGAAAACCGGATACATCCACTCAATTTCCGATTCCAGCAGTTGCAGGTCACATTTTCTGTGTTTTTCCATTTTTTTGCTCTCTTAACACTAATTTTTTATTGCACAAATCGATAGAGTAATCAATTTCGAATAAAAAACGCATAACCTTTAATACCCCTCAAATGGACCGTTTCAAAGATATTTTAATTTAAACTGAGGACTGCACAACGCTTCACATGGAAATGTTCCAAATTTTATAATATTTGGTCAAATAGTTCTAAAGTTATTACAAAAAAATCAAATTTCCATTCCCACATTCCGAGAGCTGTAAAATTCTTATCAGTAGAGATAGGACACGAGTTATTATTTAAATTAACATCATTTTATAGGTCATTTTTGAGGTTCAAATATTGCTTCATATTTATGAATAACCCTGTATTTATTGTAGTTGGAATAACTGCGTTGACAAGAATTATTTTCAACTAAAAGTGTAATTTCATGTTTACAGGACCGAATTTAACCTTTTAAAATGACTATTTAAACACAAATAATTAAAAATGGATTCAATAAAATTCTCCTGTTTTTCATTGTATTCCGGTGCAACAATAATTTATAATAACCCTGTATTTGAACAAGAATTATTTTTTAACTAAAAGTGTAATTTCATTTGATGTAAAATTTTATAACAAAAAATTAAAAATAGCAAATTTTCTTTTGTTTTTCATCGTACTCTAAAGTGTAAATCATTTATAATAACTCTGTATTTGACCAAATTGCCTTTTCCTTTAATTAAAAAACATGTTTTGCGGCGTAGGAATAAGACATGACTCACCTTGTAAAAAAGGGACAAGTTTTTTAGGACATTCTGTACCTTAATGAGGAAAATTTTTAGAATTCACATAAAATCACCTTATATGTCACAGGGTGGCACAAAAAACAATTATATATTTTTTGTAGTTGGCATAACTGCGTTGATGAAAATTATGTTTTACTAAAAGTGTAATTTTATGTTTCCAGGACAGAATTTAGCTTTTTCAAATGACTATTTAAACACATCCACAAATAATTATAAATAGATTCATTGAATCTTATTGTATGACAATAAGGCAAAATTTTTCTTGTTTTCCATTATATTCCGATGCGACAATAATTTATAATAACCCTGTATTTGAACAAGAATTATTTTTTAATTAAAAGTGTAATTTCATTTCATATCAACGTACAAACTGCTATCAAAATGTAAAATTTTATAACAAAAAATTTAAAACAGATTGCAAATTTTCTTTTGTTTTTCATTGTACTCGAAAATGACAATCATTTATAATAACCCTGTATTTGAACAATCGCTCATTAATTTAGTTTAATTAAAAAGAAATGTTTTGCGGGTTGGCAATAAAACTTGACTCACCTTCTACAAAAAAGAGACAAGTTTTTTAGGACACTCTGTATATTAATGCGGAAAATCATCAATACATTAGACATTGATCGCAAGAAAACAAACAATGAATAATAGAATGAAACTTGTTTAAACTCTCAAGGCAATAAGTTGCGACCTTGACTCAAATTTCAAATTTTCTTCTATTTTCAAACCAATTTTGTCAATTCATTCATCTATAATTAATCAACACTTACTTTGAGGCCTTTCATTACCAAAGTTTTGGCAATTGCAGCCCCCATGCCGGCACTAGCCCCCGTAACAATCGCCACTTTACCCACCCAACGATCCATATCTCGCGTACCAATTCAAACCAGGAACTGAAAAAGTATCACTCAATCTTCTTTATATACGAGAACCCACGAAAATTATTTATTTGAAGTTTTTTTTTTGTTTAATTGTGTAACAATTACGTCACTTGTCATTGAAAAAATGAAAAATCATTGTGATGATAAATTTAAGAGGCTGGGAAAATCGATATTTAATTGTTGGCGAGTCGGAGATCAAAAAAAAAGAAATTTTGGATAATCAACGATAAGATTATTTTACGACAAGTGATTTTTTCTTTAGAAATTCACTCGTGATAATTGATACTATAAATAGTCTATTGACATACATTATTTTTAAGTTTCATGTGGTATTTGACTTGACTAATGTTGTGATCCTGTTGCTGGGCTGATATCGATCCTTGTCACAATCTCCAATTCCACCCATCATTCACCATTGCAACTCCATCAAGTCCTGACCTGTTGCTGGAGAGATGGACCGTTGGGAAGGCAAAATAGCTGTAGTTACAGGCGCTAGCTCTGGAATTGGGGCTGCTATAGCAAAAGTTTTGGTCCAAAAAGGGCTCAAGGTTCGTACAAATTGCTTTTTTTAGTATTATACAGGTAAATAATTTAGGTGATTGGTCTTGCGAGACGTGTTGGACGGGTTGAAGAGCTTGCTGCTGATTTAGCCGATCAACCTGGAGAGCTTTTCGCTGTTGCTTGCGATCTCACAAAAGAAGAGAGTATTCTGGAAGCTTTCAAATGGGTCATTGATAGCGTGGGGCCGGTGCATATTTTGATTAATAATGCCGGGCTCACCAAAGCGACCAGTCTTTCCGGTGGGTAGAAATGTTAATTTTTTCATTTAATATACAGGGTGTTTTTTTAATTTTGCCCAAAATTGCAAACACATATTCTACTTTGAAAAACAACACTAATTTATCAGATAAACTATAAACTAGATGATAAAGTTTCATGATATAAATTACCACTTAGATTTTAAATATGTGGTTGCAATTCTTTAGGAAACGCCCTGTATATTTTGTTTTATTTTGAGTAAAAATCACCTTGGATACATACAAAAATTACGATTTTATTGACTTTACAATTATGTATCGTTTACAATACATTAATTACTATAATTGGGCAAGTAAATTAACAGCATTGAACTATTTAACTAAATTACAAATAGGTATGTACCTACATGAAAAAAATTGTAACTAATCAATGAATCATAATCATTAAAAATGTTCTAATACGATGACTTGCACAAAAGAGTACTTTAAAGGACTTGATTCTTCTCAATAAAAAAAGCATGATTTGTGTTTTTATTATTCACAACAATTATTGTTCAAATTTTGGCCCTTATTTGTAATTTTGGGGCTAGCTTAGTACTTCAACTAAAAAAAAATTCTAACTTCATTATTCGTTGATTGATTTTCTTGAACTTTTTAATGTTTCTGTAATTCGCCGCTGTCAAAAAACACAAAAAAATGGTCTTTTGTTTGAGAATTTGAACTTTTTTGGACCATTTTGAATCAGAAAATTGTTCATTACGGCTCTGACATAGTTCAAATTGTTCTAAATTTTGCAATAATTGTAACATAAAGAAACAATCTGTCAAATTATGTACTTATGTACTTTTTTCGAAGATTTGGCAAGCGGTTTTAGTCCTTATTTGTTAATTTTGGGGGTGGCTTAGCACTATAACTACAAAATATTCTAACTTCATTATTTATTAACCGATTTTGTTAAAATTTTTAATATTGGCAGTAATTCATTCTAAGTGAGTCACCGCTGGCAAAAAAATGTAGTTTGAAAATTTGAATTATTTTTGAACCATTTTGAATGTTTTTGTTAAGTTTTACATTAATTGTATGGAAAAAATCAATCTGTCGAATTATGGATTTTTGAAATTTTGGAAAGATTTCGGAAATAAAGGCTAAAAACGACTCAAATTGGTGTTTTTCAATCAAAATTTTAGTACACAATAAATGTACTAAATACTCAGTGTTATGTAAATCTTCCAAAAATGTCAAATTTTGACAATTTGGACATTTGAGAGTAAAGAAAATTAATTAACGTTTATTCTTGAAATAATATTTTTTATGTTGACAATAAAATCAAAGAAGCCGATTTTTAAAATAAAAAAATTAAAAAATCTAAGTCGTGTTCTGATTGGTTGGTTTTAAAAGACGTAATTGATTGGCTAAGGATCGAACAATGACACTCAACTTTAACGCATTAAATACTTTTTTTACTTTTTATTGGTCTAATATTCGAAAGTGCATGATTCATATTAGCTTTGGGGTTGGCTCCACCCATTGTGCAAAATTAGATCCAATTAAAGTATAATAACTCACACTAAACACTAATTTGTTATAAAAATTCTGTTTTTTGACCAATAAAAAATAAAAACCGGTTTGTTCTCACTATAGTAGCAATTACGTGAAAGAGAAATGATTATTAACAACCACCCAATCAAATTTAAGCTTTTGCAAAAACCTTATCGATAAAACTGTTTTAATTCAATTCGAATTTGCTTTAAAAAAAGACGCAAAAATAATGAATTTAAATTAATTTTTTCAATTAGCCACGAAAAATTGATGTTAGATAAGGAACTATTTCATCAATTAAAACAGATTAAAGCTTTTATATGACTTTAAAAAAAAAATTGCTTGATTTTCTTGAAAAGCTGTCAGAAGTGTCAGATTGAATGATTAGAATCCAACGCACTCTTAGTGATGTTTTTCTTTAAAACGTATTTAGGCACTTTTAGATTTTTTTCTCTATGAAACTCCACTATTTTGTTGAATTATGATTGAATTTTCATTTCTTACCTTCACTCAATCTCCACCTTTTGTTTTCTACTTTTAGTACTTCCAAATTTTCCAACAATCGCCAGAAAAAAACAATTGCTATCACGTGACACAAGTGAGTGGTTAAATTAACGTTTTACACGGGTGTGTCAAAAATTTGACTTTGATCAAGTTGTTTTTGACTAAATGTTGTTTTCTAATGTCAACCTAAATGTATAAAAATTAATAAAACAGACACTTCTTTCTTGTATTTTAGTAGCGCCATTTCTAGATTTTGTTTGTTTACTTTAAAAAAACAAAATGTCAATGTGTTATTAGTTACTACAAATTAAACCAAATCACTTGCAATATTTTATTTAACCAAAAATTGTACTTTTTGAATTAATAGACGGCGACAGCGCCCTCTGGCGCCAAGTCCTCGAGGTGAACATCATGGCTTTGTGCATCTGCACCCGCGAAGCGGTCAAAATAATGAAAGAACACGACATCGACGGCCACATCATCCACTTGAACTCCATCGCAGGCCACCAGATCCAAAACGTCCCCGACTTCAACGTGTATCCGGCCTCAAAATTCGCCGTTACGGCCCTGACCGAAACGCTCCGACAAGAGTTAGTCAGGGACAAAACCCGGATCAAGGTCACGGTAACCAACCTCGAAACGAAAAAAAAAACAGTGCCGTTGAAAATAATTGTTGCAGAGTATAAGTCCGGGAGTTGTTCGGACCGAATTCCAAGAAGGCATGGGCGGAGACGACATGAAGGAGATGTTAGCGCAAATACCGGCCCTCAAACCGAAAAATATAGCACAGGCCGTGGTTTATGTCTTGGGGACAGACCCTGATGTCCAGGTCCTGGCTTGAGATTTTTTTGCTGTTTTGGTGGTAATGGTGTGTTACAGGTGAGCGAGTTGACGATTCGCCCGGTGGGAGACCCGTTTTAATAAATTACGGCGAAAATTGGTTTTATCCATTTAAAAAACCGCACAGTGTGACGCATTGAATGGACTGCAATTACAGGAATCTATAATTACAGGAATCTGCACAACACAATTGACAAAAATTAAGGATATTGTTTTTTATTTAAATATTTTGCACATAATTTGTATTTGGGATCTAAATAAAATAATTTGGAACAGACTTTTATTATCACGGACTATTTCATAAACTTTACGATCGATTTTGTCGCATGTTTAAGATTTGTGTGCGGAAAATCCAAATTTAAAATAGTTCGCCGAGGGGGTGAATGGTCAGTTCGTGTACCTACAACACAGAATAAATAAATTTAGTGAAATAAAGTTGGTTATGTTGGCAATACTTGGACATGTGGCCCCGTTGACAAAACGTATATAACCGCATCGGCGATATCTTCTGGTTTGAGGGTCGGAATATCGAAATTTTTCGAATCGTTTTCTTCCAAATCTCGAACCAGGCCCGGACTTATACTCTACAAAAAACAATGAAAATTGTCCCAAATAATAATTTTCATTTACAGTGACTTTAATTAAACTTCGATTGAACCGTAACTCCTGTCGCAGAGTTTCAGTCAGGGCCGTAACGGCGAATTTCGAAGCCGGATATACATTCAGAGTTGGCTCTGCCATGTTTGGGACAATATGGCCGGCGATCGAGTTCATATGGATCACGTGACCGGCCACATTGCACTTTCGCATGATTTTGACCGCTTCACGGGTGCAAATACAGAGAGCCATGACGTTAACGTCAAAAATACGCCGCCATTCTTTCGCCTCGCCATCTTGAAATTATCACAATTAAATAAAATGGTGACTTGAGAGACTTACCAATGAGAGATGTGGACCGGCTTAAAGCAGCATTGTTAATAAGGACTTGAATTGGTCCTAATTTGTCACAAATATAATTGAATGTTCTGATAACATCGTCGTCTTTTGTTATGTCACATTTTAGTGCAAGGATTTGACCTGTTGGGTTGGTAAGAGTGGTGCCGAGATCTTGGATGCGGTGCGTGAGACGAGCCAAGCCTACTACCTATAAAAAATTGTTTGTTTCCAAGACAAAGAAACTGTATTGATAAAACTTAAATAACTGAATCAATAAAAAGAATTTAATTTGCGATTAATTTTTTATTACCTTCATGCCTTTCTCGGCCAAAACTTTCATTATTGTAGGACCTACACCAATACTGGCACCTGTCACAATTGCCACTTTACCCTCCCAACGGTCCATTTTTCTACAAGAAAACTCTTTACTAGTCTATTGCGTGACAAGACGACTCGGTTACTGGATTTAAACCTTGTCTCAGGTTTTACAGTTCACTCTGTATAACAATTATAATTCACCTTGTATACTAATTTGAAATGTCAAATTTAACATTAAGCCTGCTTTACAATGAATTGTCAGAAAAGTCAAAAACTCGTTCCATTTTCTTACAAGAAAAATTTTTACAAGACTATAGCGTAAAACAACTTAATTCAAACTTCCAGTCTCTGGTTTTATAGTTCACTTTGTGTAGTAATTTAAAAAGTCTAATTTAGCGGTAAAGCCTGCTTACAGTAAAGTTTCAAAAGCGTCAAAAAATTTGTTCCTTTTTTTTTAACAAGAAACCTTTTAATAAATCTATAGCGTGTTACTGAATTCAAACCTTGTCTCTGTTTTTATTGTTTATTTTGTATAATAATTTGTGTCTTTTGTCGTCAATGTCACTTGAGTGACATTAAATTGTAAAGCATGCTTTAGGACTGTTAACCTTATTTTTAGCTACTGTCAATCATAGTTGACAAGTTGTACATATTTTTGATAGAAAAATATAATTTGATGTCATTAATTTGAAATTGACATTCATTTTAACGTTAAAGCTTGAATTACAAGTGTCAGAAAAGTGACGACCAAAGTATTTTGTCTCCAACTGTACGTTCAATTTTTGAACTCTTGTGAACCCTGAAAAATGAGCATTTTTTTTTCATTATGTAAATTTGTTCAGCTGACACAACATAAAGGAAAAAAATTAAAAATATTCTAAACAATGTTTTAATAATTTATATTTACAGTGAGATTACAATTGCTACAATTACTAACATTGATAACAAACGCCGGACTGTCATTGGAGTTATCCGTTTTGGTGAATTTGACATTTTGATCGGAACTGGAAAATTCACTCCCGTTAACAGTTTCGTCTTTACATCGACTTGTCGATAAACCCGCAACTTCAGCATCATTTATATTGTAGGAAACTGTTTTATCCTCCATACTCGACACCTCATTATCACTAATCATCTCTTCCTTGACATCAACGACCGGATCAGGAACATCCACATGTCTCACTTGATTAGCCGCTTCACTATTTTGAATAATCGGGGAATCCCTTGTGAAATTCTCAGTCAAACATGGCAGATTCCACCGACCCAGCCCGATGTTGGCCGACAACATGGCCGAAGTCTTTCGAAATGCCCGTCCTGTGTAACATTCCGGGTTTTCCAAATTCAAGAACTTGGCGATCCGGGAGGGAATCTCCAGAAAGGTGTTGATACCAACTGGTTGGTTGTAGCATCGTCCTTCATGATATCGCATGAAAAATCGCGAACAATCGACAGTTATCTTCGATCGCAGTTCGATGTATTTGCGCACTTTTTCCAAATGGTCGGTGAGAACAAACATTCGGGACATCCCCGTGCTCGAATCGGGGATTGTCACAATGAAGACGTCACCCGTTTCTTTCACATTTGCGACTTTCATGTCGCACAATTCGTGGTTGCGACACGCACCGGTGATTCCCATCAGCATCGCCACCTGAAATTTTACTCTTAAAAAAAAATGTTGAAGAAAAAAATTGAAAAACCACCTTCATGAGTAGATATTTCTCGTCTGGTGCTTGTTCCAGAAACTGGTTGATTGTTTCCCTACTAAAAGTGTTCGACTTTTTCGGTTTATATCCCGCATTTTGGCGTTTTAAAAAAGCCCTCAATTTCAAATACTTGGAAATGTCGATGTTCTCATTTATGAAAATCGTCGTTTTCAGTATCGAATATTCACACCATTTGCTGGAGGGAGATTTCAGGATCGAACCCTTCTCCTGAAAGTAAGTCAAAAGGAGAGATTCAGAAACAGGAGCGTTGTTTTTCGTCAGACACCAATCTTTAAACAGTTTGTACGTCGTTTCGTAACGCTTCTTCGATTTTTCAGGGAGCAAAGGCGGATTTGTGACAGGCTCTTCGTCCATATTTGACACCACAGGCCTGAAATAACAATTTACACACCTTGACAACAAACAAAATACAAACAAGCTAACCAAAAAGCTGTTCTAAAGGTTGTTTTCACCTATTACATGCATTTGGAATGTATGGAATGCTGCGCAGAGTGGCTATTTATGTAACAAGTGGGATAAAGTCATTATGATTGTAGTGTATTCTAGGCAACGTAGCCGCACCAGTGTATTGTGTATTGCATACACACGAAAAGTAGTTTATAGAAAATAACAAATTGTAAGCTGTTAAAAAACGTGTAATTGAGTGTTGAACAGATTAATTTTTTTATGGATTCAAAAAAACAAGATCAGGATACAGAAATAATAGTGTTTTATTGAATTATAGGTATCTCCACGGTACCAACTAATTTGACTTCACACAGTTGGCTACAGTGTTATTTGACAGCTCTAGAGGTGATAGGCTGTGGTGATAGGTTACAATTTTGTGGTTCACAAAACAGTGTCAATAAAATAATAACTAATTTTTTATAATATGGACCCAAGTGAGTAATTTACAGTTTAGAAGCTACACTTTTTGTTTTTCCAAAATTCTCATAATTAAAATTTATTCATTTTATGTAAAATCATTCTGACATGTCATAATTCCTTGTCATTGTTTATTTTGGTCTTTGCGGATCAAGGCCTTGCGATTTAAAACTCGCATTGTTTACAGCATTGAGTAAAGAGACTTTGGAGAAATTCCGTTCGAGTTTTTTCTCCGACGAGAAAAACATTTTTGCTCAGAATGTCTGCTCCCGAATCGACCCTTTCGACGCCTGTCTTTCGCGCAAGGCCCTCGAAGAGACGCACCACGTCTATGAGCACAAAGTGGAGGCCGAGGGCAAGCCGGTCAGCAACCAGAAAAACTCAGGCCGGTGCTGGATTTTCGCCACTATGAATGTGATCCGATTGCCCTTCATGAAACACCTAAACATTGACGATTTTGAGTTCTCCCAAGCCTACCTCTTCTTCTGGGACAAGATCGAGCGGTGTAACTTTTTCCTCAATAATATCGTCGAAACGGCCAAACGCAACGAGACGGTGGAGGGGCGACTGGTCTCGTTTCTACTAAATGTAAGGAGAAACTCAATTGGGGCGTTTTTCACCGGTTTTGTTTAGGACCCGATTTCGGACGGGGGCCAATGGGACATGATTGTCAATCTCATCAACAAACACGGATTGATGCCCAAAAAGTGCTTCCCCGAGTCGTTCAGCTGCGAGACGAGCGCGAAAATGAACCAAATCCTCAAAACTAAAGTGAGTATTAAATAGAACAAATGATCTAAAAGTGTGAAACGGGCCTTAGATATTAACCTCACTTTGGTGAGTGTCCCTGTTATTTTGACGTTTTGAAATGTCAAATTTGACATTAAAGCTTGGTTTAGAGTAAATTTGATTTTTGAATTGCTAATTCTTAATTTCCAGTTGCGTGAGTACGCGAAGGCCATCCGCGACTTGATCGCCAAGGGTGAAGGCGACCTAAAAGTACAAAACTTGATAAGAGAGCAAATGAATACGATTTATCGTATTGTGGGTATTTGTCTCGGTGTGCCTAACGAGACGTTCACTTTCACTTATTACGACAAGAACAAGACTTATCACAGCATTGGTCCAATAACCCCAAAGGCTTTCTATGAGGAGCACGTCAAACCTATTTTTGATGTCGATAATAAAGTGTGCATAGTTACCGACCCGCGACCGTCAAACCAATACGGTAAAGTATACACGGTGGATTGTTTAGGCAACGTTGTGGGTGGACGTCCCTGTATATACAACAATCAACCCGTTGAACTTCTACTCGAAGCCACGGCCAAGTCGATCAAAGATGGCGAAGCTGTGTGGTTTGGTTGCGAGGTGATGAAACGTTTCGCCGGAAAACAGGGGATTTTAGATTTGAAAATGTAGGGGATTTTTTTCTGATCCCGATTTTGAGTGTAAAATTTTTGTTTCAGTCATAATTTTCCGCTGGTGTTTGGGGTAGATATCCAGACCATTTTGAGTAAAGCCGATAGGTTGATTTATGGGGACAGTGCCATGTCACATGCGATGGTTTTCACCGCTGTGAGCTTGAACGTGAGTTGGAAATTTTGTCATGTTTGCAAGTCTGTATGAAATTAAGTTGACAACATTGATGTGTTTTTTCTTTGATAGGAAAAAGATGAAGTGACGAAGTTGCGTGTGGAGAATTCGTGGGGTGAGGATCGTGGAGAAAAAGGATACTTGATTATGAGTACTGAGTGGTTCAAGGAGTATGTTTTTGAAGTGGTAGTGGATAAGAAGTATGTTCCTGATGATGTTCTTGAAGTTTTTAAACAGAAACCGATTGTCTTGCCAGCTTGGGATCCGATGGGAACACTTGCCAATACTTTATGTTAATTTGTAATATTTTTGCTTCAATATAATTTTGTGGCAATATTTTAACTGTTTATTTCATTTTTGTTCTTTTGAGGAAAGTTTTAGTTTGGTATAGGCAACCAACAATACACCTGTTTTATAAACTTAATTTAAACAAAACTTTACCAACATGCAAACAACTACAATCTTTTTAAGAAAATTTGTAGGGACAATAATAAAAAGCAAACAAAATTTGTGGCTGCTATCAATTTTTTCGATAAAATTTGACTTGTAAATAAAGACTTTATATTTGGCGGCGCTCGGCCGGTAAAGTGGCCACCTGCAATCATCTTGACAGCTCGCGGCAAACACTGTCAAAAACCTGCCAAACGTTTTATAAATAATCGTAAAAATTCAAGTGTTATTAATGAATTTATCTGAACCAATTGACCGTTTCGCCCCCATATCGCCGTCAGCATAAACAAACTGCAGTTTTCAGTGTCATTCAAGTCGCCGTATGGAAATCAGCCATGTAACCAGCCTGAAAAGAAATCGAAACTCCTGACTGAAAATCCCAACACAGCACGATTTCGCAAACCACCACTGCAATGGCATCAATCGAGTACGACTTGGACACCTCTGGGGGTCTCATGGACGTAAGTCGCTCAAAATGGCGGATTTCCCTCCTTTGTCTGCACCAAACCCACTTTTGCAGCAAATCCAAGCCCTAATCGCGCCCCCACAATCCGAGGACACCAAATCGAGGAAGTCCGCCAGCGAGCATCCGTATTTCAAGCGTCCTGGCAAGGGGCACAACCACGACAGTTGCGACGCGTGCGGTGAAGGGGGCGACTTGATTTGCTGCGACAAGTGTCCCTCGAGTTTCCATCTGCAATGCCAGTATGGGGGCTAAGGGAGTTTTTTGTATTTCTCGTAAACGAATTGTCGTTTCAGTGATCCCCCCTTAGAGGAGAAGGATATACCGAGTGGGGAGTGGTTGTGTCACAGTTGTAAATATGCAAAGAAGATTAATGCACCACAGACGAGGAATAAACGCTCGGCCTCCACCCCAGCGGGAAAAGCGCCCAAAAAGGCCAAAGTCACGCCAATGGAGGTCTTGATTCAAGCCGCCAGTTCTATGAACCCCAAGCAGTTTGATCTCCCCAGGAGTATGAGTGTCCCATGCATTTTTCCAGGGACTGATAAAGGTAAAGACAAGGTTCATTTTTAATTTACACAATTTTATATTCTTTTCTAATCGATTTATGTACTTAATTATTTATTCAGATTCCATTGTGTACTTATTTGTCATTCACTGTTTAAAATTCTAAAGAGGATCAGTAAATGTCGATTTATTGATTTAATTCATAATGAACAGGATGGACAAAGTGAGTGACTTAAGGAGGATTAGAGAAAGAAAGTAAATACGAATTGCCGTTACTTAACAGAGATAGATATATTATAGTCACGTGCTGTTTGGCATGACAAGTCTAAGCAATTTTAAATTTCTCTTATTTAATTTTTACTATTTAATAATTCTTGAATTGAAATACACAATTCAAGTGAATCATTATCTAAAATGTATTTATTTCTCTATGTTCATATTTTGGTAATTTTTGAATTAAATAAAAAGCTTTTGTTAAAAATGTAGAAAAAGCTGTGAAAAACATTAAAGAAAATTTGTAACAAAATTCCAACTTTTGTCAAAACAAAAAACAAACTACACTTTTCTTTTCTATCTTTAAAAAAGCGTATAGAATTTTTTATGAGAAAATAATAAAAGTTTGCAGTAGTCTAAATAGTAAAATTGGTGATTCTGTGTGTATAAAATACACGGTGATTCAAAAAGGTCGAACAATCTCTTTGTGATAGAAAACGTTAATAGAAACTCAGATATGGTTTTATAATTTTTGAAATTATGAATACTTAAAGATGGCACAAAGTGGCAACGCTGTAGTACATTTTGAACTATACTTGTTTTCATATTAATGTGCATCGAAGTAGTCGTTGAAAGGTGGTATCCTTTTAAGGTGGCAACCATGCAACAATTCCCTAAAATTATTTTCTCAAATAAATGTGTACCCCAGGTGGCAAAAACTAATTACAATTAACATCGTAATTAATATAGGGTAGCAAACTTTTTTTTTGCCATTATTCATGTGATTAGATTTGTTCTGAATGACATTAATGACACTTTTTGTGTGAATCGGCCTTTAAATTGAAGATTCATTTAGACTACTATAACCTACTTGATGCACATTAATATGAAAAAGACTATACTTTGTGTCTGCACTCTATAGGGTGCGCCAGAATTCGCGCTCCAGTGAAAATTTTCAACTAAGGTAAAATACCAGGAACATGAAAAAAATGTTTAAAAAAATTCTGTCAAAAATTTTTTCATTTATTTTTTGACATTTGACTTATTTTATATCTATTTAATGATACATGATCTTGTATATGTTTTTTTACAATTATTTAGTAAAGGGACAAAAATTTTGCCAATAAAAGCCACAAATAACATTGAACAGAGTTACAATTTAGGATACAGCTTCCTTGTTTCCTCTTTTAATAGCCTATAGGAAAAAAAATTATTTTTCCAACAGAAATAAATAGAGTCAAAGTGCAAACTTTAAACCCTCATAACTTCGAAATTTTTATAGATAATTTTTTTTTAACATTTTTTCTATGTTCCTGGTATCTTACCTTATATGGCATTTTTTTCTGGGGCGCGAGTTCTGGCACAGCCTGTATAATTTGTAACGTTTGTTACCATGGAAACGTACAAATTTTTGATGTGCTGTTGCCAACTTTCTATTACGTTTTACTTATTCACTTCCCAGTGTAAATTTGTAAAAATTCGTTTGAGTAAATCCGTTTTTAAACATTCACTTGTTTTTTATAGACGTATCTTCTATCAAAAATGACGATACTGGAAAAGTAGGGTCAAAAAATATGAAAACACAATTTAGTTACTTCTACTGCCAACATAGACACAACCAACACACTAGAGATGGCGGATTAGGTGCTGCCAACTTTGCAATAAATTATTTTTTAATATTCTACCCAAATCAATAATAAAGTTGCAAAATAATTGTTATGAATTTTTTTCAGTTGAGGCGCCGTATTCCCGCAACGGTCGCAAAACGCTGAAAGTCCCCAAAGACCATGAGAAGAAGCAAGACGCTACAATTCTCCTTCCTGCGAAGAAATGCCATGAATGTCGCAAATCTTGCCGTATAGCTCCTTTAATTTCGTGCGACTTTTGCTCCCTATATTTTCACATGGATTGTTTAGATCCGCCATTAACGACGCCACCTAGCGGCCGTTGGATGTGCCCCAATCACGTTGAGCATTATCTCGTAAGTTTTACTATAAATTTTTGCAAAAATTATTATTTTTCTGTGATAGGATTCCAAACTGCTTACTTCCATTTCGGCCACTGAACGCATCAAACTCTGGGATAAATTCAACGGTCCAGTCGATCAAGACGCAATTCGATTGGATTTTTTCCGGAAAATTCACAGCAAAAATCCCCCCTTTCGTGTAAAAATTAAATTAGCGGCGAAAAATCGCGTCAAAGTACCACCAATGGTCAAATATCATTATCGCAAACCGGTGAACTTGCTACCGAGTTTAAAAGATGTCTTAAGATTAGAGAGTGTGTTGAGCAGAGAAATGGACGTTGTGAAGTGTGAAGAAGTTGTACAAAGTACGAATAGTTTGTGTAACGGTCCCGAGGATCAAACGTGTGATAAAAAAACAGACGAAAATACTCAAAAAGTCGAAGGGGAGGATGATAATAAGGAGGATTTCTCCTGTCGAAATGGCTGTATCAAAAATGAGGTGATAAATGGGGCGACGCTCGACCAAAAGGACAATATTTTCCTCCCAGATGTGGTGTCGGATATTACGAACGAAGGTGAGCACTCAATACCCCCTGCTTGTCTCCATTTTCCTTTTAAATTTTAAATTTTCGTAACAATTTTTGGTAGTCATGGAAACAAACTATTGCCAACCTTTCTGCCCTAGTAACAAAAATTGAAATTTCATCCAAATCAAGTGGGTTTTAACACACAAATGTCACTAGCCCTTTTTTTTGGTCAAAGTCTAATTATTTTTTAAGCGACATTTCATTACTTAAGCTTATTATTTACGACTTTTGATTAAATTTTTCGTACAAGCTATTGCCAACCTTGTTCCCCTAATAAAAAACTGAAATTTCGTCGAAATCAAGTGGGTTTGAACATGACAATTGTCATTTAATCTACCCTAATTTTGACAGTTGTGTTAATTAACCCTTTTTTGTAGTTGAAGTCGAATTGAAGCAGTTAGACGACCGACTAGTGAAACTCCTCGCTTACCAACGCATCCAACACCTCCTCAACCAGCCGAACAATTCCGCCAACTTAAATTTGTATTTACCGTCGAATTTGCAAAGCAAGTTACGTCACATGCCTATGCCGAGCGAATTGTTGACCCCCGCCGACATCGAGCGGATATCTCGTGTCTTTTCCAGTCCGAAGAAGAAAAATAAGCCGAAATCGGCGCTTCGCGCACGCGCCATGATGTGTCCGGTGGTTTCCCCACATTTCTACAATGTGCGCACGTCAGAAGTTAGTCCAAATGATGTGCGACACGACGATAGTTTCCTCGGGTTTAGACCGACGGTCTCGGCGAGGTATCCCGAAGCGGTCGCGATGAGGTATAGGGTACTCAATGTGGGCAAGGGGTCCGCCAACGACGTCGATTTGGAGCGATTCGGACATTGCAATAACATATCAGCGAGGCATGCGATCATCTTCTATGATGAGGTGAGAAATTAGCACTACAATATTACCAACTTAAATAAAAATCACCAAAGTAGAACAGTTGGCAGCAGTGCGTGAATTGACGTTTGTTTTGGATTTTTGCAGTTTACAAAAAACTTCGAGTTGATAAACTACTCGTCGCACGGTACGTTTGTGAACAACGTTTTGTTTTCGAATGACACCAATACCGAGCGTCCCAAGCAATGTGAGGGAAAAATCGTACCGTTGGAGGTCCAAGTGCGCGAGATAATCGATAGGAGACGAAAAGTGGTACGTCAACGAAAAAACTCATTTGAGACGAAAATGACAGCAATAGATAATATGGATATGATGGAATGTTGTTGCACGAATGTGGGTGACTCATCACGGATAGGATGGGAAGGATCGGCGATTTTAAACCATGGAAGTCTTTTAAGGTTCGGGTGCGTCTCTTTCGTATTTTCAATAGTCGATTGTGCGGCATAAAAAACTCACTCACAACAAAGATACATTTTTACTTGAATTACATACATGATACAAATATACGATCTGTACAAAAATACGAAATAAATGCAGAATTGTGAAATTGCTAGATGTTTCTTGAAGAGAGCACAGTTTTGGTCTTGATCAAAAACCAATATGCTAGAGGAATAAAAGTAAAAGGGTTATAAAATAAATACAATTCTTGTTTATATTATACATTATATACAGGGTATTCAACCGGGAAAATCGGGTGTTTTATTTGGCTTAGGACGCACCAATCTAGGAACGAAAAACATCCACTGAACACCCTTTTCTAACAACTAACAACACTTTTTCTTCCCTTGTTTGTTGCTTTTCCTTAGGTTCACCGTCTCGTTCTGTGTGATATTCTGCCGCTCTTTCATTTCTTGTTTCGACCTAAGCACTAATCTCGTAATTGCCATGAACATCTCCTCTACATTTACATTGTCTTTGGCTGAGGTTTCAAACAGTTGAATGTTCATCGTATCGGCGAAACGTTGGGCGTCTTCAGTCAACACCACCTTCCTGTCTGGCGTGTCGTTTTTATTACCCACTAGTACTCTATTAACTACATCACAATTTTGTTCAATTTCATGCAGCCATCTTTTGACATTAGCAAATGACTCCCCGTTTGTGACGTCGTAAACGACAATCACCCCATGAGTCCCCCTGTAGTACGTGCTAGTGATGGTGCGGAAACGTTCCTGGCCCGCTGTATCCCAAATCTGGAGCTTGACTTTCTGGCCGTCGATACTCACAGTTTTTATCTTGAAATCAACACCGATTGTGGTTATGTAACTACCCGAAAATGTGTTATCAGCAAACCGCAACAAAAGGGAACTCTTACCAACACCTAAAATCATGAGAATTGTCGCAATTAGAAGGAAAATACACTCATAACCCCGCCCACACTTACCACTATCGCCGATTATCAGTAATTTAAATAAATGGTCGTAATCACGGGCCATTTCTACAAATTTAGGTACAACACGACTTCAACTAGGCCGAGAGGACATTAATTTCGCTATGTTCGCCACCGATAACATCAAAAACACCACAAATTCACCGAATTGTAATCCAATAAGTGACAGATGACGTTAACGTTTTTCCCCCAAATGCGCACCAACCCCGCAGCAAAAAACCCTAAACAAATTTTTTAATTAAAATTTAAATTAACTTATAATATGTTGGGACTCAATTTACGCATTTTTATCATAAGTACCCGAATTTGGCTATAGAGTGACGTCTCTAACTTTTTTTTGTTTTGCAAAACTACATATGTAGTAACAAAAAAATTGTGTTGGCAACAAATCAAAATTCAAAATGTCACTCGCCTAACCTAAAACCTGCCACAAAATGCGAATTCTGCGGCCTTTTTGCGGTTTGAAACCCCTCTCGGGGGTTCAGAGCCGTCAATTATCGACCATCCAGCCGGTGAAGCTCGCCTATGCCTCGTATGAAAGTACAAACTCCCCCAGTGAGCACGACCCAGCCCCCCTGATAGTCAACCACGGCCTTTTCGGCTCCAAGTCCAACTGGAACAGTTTGTGTAAAGTGTACCACAACAAAACCGCCCGGAAAGTGATCGCTGTTGATGCACGCAATCACGGCGATAGCCCCCATACCGAGCAACACACGTACGAGCACCTAGCGCTCGACTTGAAGGAGCTTTTGAGGCAGTTGAAGTTTGATAAGGCGGCGTTTTTAGGGCACTCGATGGGGGGCCGCGCTGTGATGTATTTCGCCTTGAAATATGTAATTTTTTCATGATTTTTCTTTGCTAAAAGACTTGTAGCCTGAACTTGTAGATAAATTGATTGTAGCTGATATTTCTCCCGTGACGACTAGTCCGAATTTGAAGACAATGCCGAGTCTTTTTAACGTTATGCAAAATTTGAACATGCCCAAAAATGTGTCAATGTCAGTGGCGAGGTCTCAGACTGACTTGCAATTGGCCAGGTTTGTTAGTGATAAAGGCCTAAGGAATTTTTTGTTGACGAATTTGGTGCAAAAACTGGACGGGAGGTGAGGCCCAGAAGCCCCCCAATGAGTCCTAAAATTTTTTTTTAGTTACATTTGGAGAATTAATATTCCTACTTTAATGGCCAGTTTTGAAGAAATTGCAACTTTTCCCCCTATTAATAAATACAAATTTGAGGGGCCTGTGTTATTTATAGGGGGTGGAGCCTCGGACTATATACAGTATGATTATTTTAATTTAAAAAGTTTTTTTTGATGATTTTTTTGTCAGGAAAAGTGACCACGACCAAATACTGAAATTATTTCCAAAGGCCCAATTTCAGTATATTGAAGGAGCAGGTCATTGGTTACACAGTGAAAAGCCCTCGGAATTCCTACAACACACTATAGAGTTTTTAAATAAATAAACAAAAAATCAGTCAATGGTATATTTTATAAATAAATGCACAATTTAGAACACATTTAAATTTATCACATTCCTAACGAATTAAAGTGTCAAGTGTTGGTTAAAATCCCTAAATATCATTACCTGATTTTTTCTGCACAATGTTTCATAAATTCTTGTGCAACACGTCTAGTTTATTGCATATTCACTTTGATTTAAATTTTCTGCCTTCTACAAAAAAATCATTGTAGAAAAAAGCTACAGTGCTATATCTCGTTCAAAGCTATCGTGAACAGTGCAAACACAAAAAATGTGAATTACATCGGTATACATTTATTGTAACAACCCTGTATAACTTTTTCGAGGTTATGTCGACATTCCTCCATTGTAAGCGTAATCGGCTTTGTTATGCATTATTAGAAAATCGTCGACGAAGTAAAAACTGTCCGAACGAGTCTCAAAAGGAGAGGCGATCATTTCATTCACTGAAAAATATTTTTTTTTCAATTTTAAGTAACAAACGAAGCGAGTAGAGTAACTAGTTTGAGTTGACAATACTTGAATCTGTCAAGCTGTGTAGCCAACCCAAACCGGTGTTAAACTTTTGGTTACCTAAATCGGGTGGCAGCACTGGAAATTCATAAATGTGTTCGCAGGTGTTCCTCGAGTAGGGGATGCAAAACCCGAATTCAAAATCAAACGTTTTGAGTAACTTATCCCTGAAGAAGTGCCTCTCAATCATGCGAAACCTATTGACAGGTCTGCCACCTACCGTGAATTCAACCCTAGAAAAAACCCTATAAAATTCAAACAATTTTTTGTTGGGACTTACGTGGCTCCCACTGTCTTCAATTTGAGAAACTGTGGGGTGAACTGGTAGCGCACGAAGCGCCCCGAATTGGGGTCGATGGGGTCGTCGCCCTCCGAATTTTTCTCGTTTTCGTCGACGTTCTCCGGGAGGGGTTTGGCGATCTCGAAGAGGACGGCGCCGCTCTCTAAGTCTCTGATTTTGAACCTCGTGAAGTCTATGTCGTAGATGTTGGCGTCGGGGTCGCACAAATACGTGTCTGTTATTTTCGTCAAGCGGAGGACGTCCTCCGGGGTGATGGCTTTGGAGGAATCGGGGGGCGGGAGTGCTCGGGGGATGGTCTCGCGTTTCTCTCGCACTACACTCATTTTTTGGGTTCTTTCTACTTTGCTATAAACAAATTTTGACAGGTGGGTGAGAAATGTCACTTGTCAAACTTGTCGGGGTGCGCGCTCGAATGGGGTTGGGGGAAAAGTGTGCACAAGATCGAACTCATCTCAAACATAAAAAAAATAATTTTTATCAAAATTGAACCAGTAATTGCAATTGCAACAGCAAATGGTTTCTAATTTGAAGATCTACTTTTCTAAACAAAAAAATTCATCAATGGAATGGTATAATTATTGGATTAGGCAACCAATTATACACACAATCAAGTTTTTTTGTTTAATTATTTTGTCAAAATCTTTTGAAATTAATTTATCTTCGTTTGTTATATTATTCAAATTGGCCTGTGATATAAATGTTATGTTTTTAGATTACAGGAAAACAAAGTATTCGAGATTTAAGAGATTTAATTTTTATACAGGGTGTTTCACACAAGTTTACGAGGCTTGCGCCTAATGTACGCACCCAAATATGCAAAATACACAAATACACATTTAATTATTTAATTTTTGGAAACCCATGACAGTAGTTGTCAAACTAATCATTGTTTCATTAATAACAACAAGAGACGGCACGAATATGATTCTAGTTTATCTATTTTAATCACTAACTAACTAAAAATGTTGTAATGTTTAAAAGGGTGAACAAATTAGAAAAAAAAATTGTAATCGAGTTTGTATCGGAATATATTATTGATTGCATCTTACAGGCCTCGTAAAATTATGTGAAACACCCTGTATAAGCATCTCATGAGCAAAAGTCAAAAAACACCTTTTGAAGGGTATTTCCCCGTTATCATAAATTCCAAAACAAAATATTTTCGTGTTTATCAATATTATTTTAAACATTTTATTTTAAGAAGTCGATGCACTTGAAGGTTTATAGTCTTGTTTACTATCAAACCAGCTGATTCAATTTCGTTGAATATTTCATCAGATTTTCTACTTCCATGTTTGATAAGATTAAACAAGGACAAACATTAAATCGAGATAAAAATATTTAGAACATTTCCAGCAACTACGCCACTGGTTTTTTATCATTTTTTTCTTTTGATATCAAACAAGGACATGAATAATTGACATTGACATAGCGGCCAATCCTAGTATTTATTTAGAACTTTAAATAAAACTTTATTTTGTAAAAATATTTTATTAAGAATATCAGTCATAACAACAATAAAATACATTTAAAAAAATTATTTATCACTTATAAAGAATTGTAAAAGGAGATTAAAACTGCCAACAATCATAATAGCTGCATGGAAGATTAATTTGGGTGTTGTTAATCTTCCTTCTTTCTTCAAACTGGCAATTTTTAGTAAACTTGGTAACATGAAGATGTATACTAAACCACTCAAAGCCCCCGTATATCTGAAATAAAATCATTAATTTTGCACCAAAATAACCGATTTTCTTACCTAATTAAAGTCCCTATTCTCGGAAGAAAACATGCAAATGAAATACAAATCGTTAAAATAAGAAAATTCAGTGTCATAACTCTGGGATAAGTAAATTCCCCAAATCTGTAGTTCTTGAAAATCATATTAATGTTGGCAAACACATCATTGCGTAACATGTACGAAATCAGGGGAAATACGGTAAAGAGTTGAAACAATAATAAAATCCTTGCCAATATTGTCAAAACGTCGTATTTGTTAAAATTGTTTAGGATATTCTAAAACTTAAGGTTGGTACAACTGAAGATATTTGGGTTGGTGATACTCACATCCTCGATGCAGAATTTCGGTAATGGAAAACAAATGTAGAAAACAACCCCAATGAATAAATAAGTAAAAGTCACTAAACCGAACGCAATTGTCAAATCACGACCCTATAAAATACAATTAAAATTACTAAAAAGTGATTTAAAAAACATACATTATGTTCTTGATGTTTGTTGTTCCTCATAATCGAAATGATAATGTTGTGAATGAAATAACTTAAAGATAACATTCCACTGAGGGCACAGAAAGTCGGTTTCATGTAAAATACGATATCCCAGTCTGGCATGTTAATCCCCCAAATCCCGGCTTTAGCCGCAACGAAAACAATTAAGTACAAAACGCTGAAAGTGCCTAAAACCGAACTTGTTACCAACCTAAAAACAAAATCGATTTTTGTACCTAAACTATTGAATTTTGTGAAAAAAGTGGGACTCTTCCAGTTCAACATGGGGAACATAATCAAGCCTAATATCACAGGTACAGTCGAATACAAGTCCCAAATTCGGCTAAACGCAGATTGATTCGTTGTACTGTTGGTGATTTGGACGATTGTTTCGTTTTTGGGACACAAAACTGACGTATTCGAGATGGGAGTGTCGTCCAAATGCAACAAAATTCCTAATTTTGCACAAATTAATACAAAAAAAAAAACGGATAGTGTCAAAAAATACCGTAGAAAAATTGGACGGAGTGGTAGAAAAAATTCGACATTAAAATCCAGTAGACGATGTTCGCACCAATCAAAACCACCAATGAGAAAATCTTTGCCAAAATCTCGGCCCATCGGCCAATCAGAGCGCGACACAAATCGCAAACTTCGCCATTTTGGCCAATAACGCCATGTTTTTCGTTTACTTTGAGTATAGTGTAGGTGGTGTACAAACAAATGGCGGCGATGGCAATATTTATGAAAATGGCGGGGAAAAGACCGGTTTTTTCAATGCCCCATGACATGGACAAGAGGGAAGTCCCCACTGTGGTGTTCCAAATTGCGAATCTGTAAGAAAACTTTGCACTTAGCGTCGGGGTCATAGGTTATGTTTTGGTACGCCACTGGTTGCGATAACAGATTAAACTCACATGGTAACGAGGGAGCTGTTGGTTTCCGGTAATTCCGGGTCGCGGTAGTCATAATTGACCGGTGCGCCGTTTTTGCCACTCTAAAAAAGGATATTTGACTTTTATTGAACAGAAAAATGAAAAATTATTAAAAAATCTGAGAAATATCAATTTGACATTTTTGGGATTTTGTTTTCAAAGAATTGTCAATTTGACGTCGTCATGATTTTGTTTCCTGAGAAATGTCAATTTGGCATTTTGATATTTTTTGACGTAATTGCGATTATTATTGAAAATTATTGTTTTAAAACGCTCGAAAAAGACAAAAATAATGTCGTTTTTGAATTAATTTGATAATTTTTTAGTTTGTTTTAGCAAATTCCAACTCAAAAATCTGGCAAAAAAACAATTTTTTTCAAGCTCAAAAACGTGTTTAAACACTCGAAAAATAAAAAAAGTACGTATTTTTTGGCTCAACTTGGGCTTTGTTGGCCAAGTTTTGCGAAATCTTGCTCAAAAATACTTTTGAAAAAGGCTAAAATAACACAATTTTTGGCTTCAATTAACAATTTTTTGACGAAATTTCACGAAATAATTACAGTTCTGTCTAAAAATGTGCCAAAACACTTGATAAATTTAAAATAATGTAATTTTTCAATTAGTTTGACATATTTTCCATCTATTTTAGCGGAATCTAGCAATAAAATATAAGTTTTAAGATCAAAAAAGTTTAACAAAGCCAAAAATAACGCTATTTTCTCCAATTGACATTTTCAGGATTTTGTTTATAAGAAATGTCAGTTTGACATTTTTGGCATTTTGTTTTCTGAGAGTTGTCGATTTGACATTGTTGGGTTTTGTTTTCTGAGAGTTGTCAATTTGACATTTTTGACGTAATTGCGATAATTATTGAAAATTGTTTTAAAACGCTCGAAAAAGACAAAAATAATGTCGTTTTTGAATTAATTTGATAATTTTTTAGTTTCTTTTAGCAAATTCAAACTCAAAAATCTGGCAAAAAAACTATATTTTTTTTCAGCTCAAAAACGTGTTTAAACACTCGAAAAATAAAAAAAATACGTCATTTTTAGCTCAACTTGGGGTTTTTTGGCCATGTTTTGTAAATCTTGCTCAAAAATACTTTTGAAAAAGGCTAAAATAATACAATTTTTGGCATTAATTTACAATTTTTTGACGAAATTTCACGAAATAATTGCAGTTCTGTCTAAAAAAAGTGCCAAAACACTTGATAAATTTAAAATAATGTAATTTTTCAACTAGTTTGACATATTTTCCATCTATTTTAGCGGAATCTAGCAATAAACTATAAGTTTTAAGCGCAAAAGTGCTTGAACGTTTAACAAAGGCAAAAATAACGCTATTTTCTCCATTGACATTTTTGGGATTTTGTTTCTGAGAAATCTCAATTTGACATTTTTCTGATTTTGTTTTCTGAGAGTTGTCATTCTGATATTTTTAGTATTATGTTTTCTGAGAAATGTCAATTTGACATTTTTGGGATTTTGTTTTTAGAGAATTGCCAATTTGATGTCTTCATGATTTTGTTTCCTGAGAAATGTCAATTTGACATTTTGATATTTTTTGACGAAATTGCTATTATTGAAAATTGTTTTATAACGCTCGAAAAAGACAAAAATAATGGCGTTTTTGAATTGATTTGATAATTTTTTTATTTGTTTTGGGCAAATTCAAAGAAAAAAATCTGGCAAAAAAACTATTTTTTTCAGATCAAAAACGTGTTTAAATGCTCGAAAAATTAAAAAATTACGTCATTTTTGGCTCAACTTGGGGTTTTTTGGCCATGTTTTGCGAAATCTTGCTCAAAAATTACTTGTAAAAAAGGCTAAAGTAACATAATTTTTGGCTTAAATTAAGAATTTTTTGACGAAATTTCACGAAATAATTGCAGTTCTGTCTAAAAAATGTGCCAAAACACTTGATAAATTTAAAATAATGTAATTTTTAATATATTTTAGCGGAATCTAGCAATAAAATATAAGTTTTAAGATCAAAAAAGTTTAACAAAGCCAATTTTCTCCAATTGACATTTTCAGGATTTTGTTTCTAAGAAATGTCAGTTTGACATTTTAGGGAATTTGTTTTCTGAGGGATGTCAATTTGAAATTTTTCTGATTTTGTCTTCTGAGAGTTGTCAATTTGACATTTTTGGGATTATGTTTTCTGAGAAATGTCAATGTGGCGTTTTTGGGATTTTGTACTCACTGGAGATTTTTCCCCGGTCAAAATATCGGTGTTGTAGTCGTCCCCGTCGTGCGAATAGACCTCAAAATCGGGATGTTGGTAACTGGACTTGTACAAAAATTGTCTAAAAAACAGTTTTTTTTCATTTTTTCGACAATTTTTCCAACCGACCTGTTTGGTTTTTGGATCTGGATGGGTGAAATCGTGGCCGCCTGTTTTTTGGTAGCTCTGTCGGCCTCAGTGTCAGTGTCTGAGTCGTTTTTGAGGCCATATTCGTTGGTGCTCCCGAAACCATGGCTCGAAGACGAGCTCATCAAAGGCTGCGATTCGGTTTCGGACTCGGTGTCGGATTTTCGTTGCAGTAACAATTTGTAATTTCGGATTAAATCTGTCCCAAAGATTGGTTAAAATTCAACAAGTTGTTCAAACTTACCTCTCATCATGATGTCAGAATAAAACAACATAAAACAACATGAAAAGTTTGACGAACTGTTTTACAAAAACCGCACTGACAATTTTGCAAGTAAAAGTTCCATTCATAATTACACAAGAGGTGTTTGGTCGATTGTTTCGAAATGAGTTATCTTTCGAAATTCGGGAGATAATGAAGAAGGTTCAGACCGCTGAGTGCTACTAACACTGACCACTTTCTGCTTGTTTTAATATGCATCGTGATAAGAACGAGCGTCAGGGATTTGATAAGAGAAGGTTTGTTATTTCGTTATTCTTTCGGAATTATCATGAACACGTTATTTCCGCGAGTTTTTCAAATTTTCAACTATTTTTAACAATGTCCTTGAGATAACGAATTAATTTTAACCAGAAATAATTTGGAAAAAAATAATGTCTGTGATTTTTTGCAAATTGTTATCTCCAAAGTTAAAAGTTCAGTTTTGCTCTTTATTTTATTATTTACTCATCTTTGCAATGACAAATTCGAAAAACATAATCAAATTTAACATCTTGCGCAAAAACAATAATATTGATTTTATTTAAAATAATATCTTAATTGAATTGTACGCCATAAAAAATATTTGTTTACTGCTCGTGTCACAATTTACTAAATTGATTAAGTGATTATGTAATCCTAATTATGTTCCTAATTTACTCATTCTTGGTTTTTCTAGATAAGAGAAGTGGAATGAAAAGATTGGATAGCACCAAAACGCTTTTTATTCTTTTTTTAAACACAAAAAAGGAAAATTTTTGAATTTAGGGAATTTTGCGTCAGTTGGTAACACGTAGTGTTATTGCTATTGTTATCTGCTAGAAAGCTTCTCATGTTCGCTACCGAAAATTCAAGAAATTGGTAAGTTTATTCACAGCGGAATTGTTACCAATATTAAAAACATAAAATACACTAGGCTCAAAGAGACACGCAGCGGCGAGTTGAGGAACAAACAGTTGCTTGAATAGATTTTTCTGACGCGTTTTTTTATACTATTTTTTCTAATTTGCGTTTATAATACGTTTATTAACGTCTCCAGTAGGAGTCGTTTATGGCTATCTATAAAAGCACACTGTATTAATTTAGGGTTATTTAGTTTTTGGATGCCGCTTCTGACTTGTCAGGTAACAAATTTTGCGTTGTTGCTTCGGTAATTTGGCGAATTTCGGGCGGAGTGCAAACTAAATTCTGTTTCTCATATTTTATTTATTATTATTATGTTGTAACACTAATAACTAATACTTTGTAAATTTTATTTTCAATGACAGACGGCAGAAATGACTCAAAAAAACAGGTGGACGCCGAGTGTTACCAACCGATACCAACTAACACAAAATTCTCTAGGCGACAAAAAAATATATTTTTTTAATTAAAATAAGAAAAAAGGGGGCGCAAATTAGAAAAAAAATAGCATAAAATACTCGTTTTATAATGGCATTGGCGCACTCATCCCATAGAAAACTCGCCTACGGCTCGTTTTCTAACTTGGGATTCGTGCTCCAAATCAACCCTTATAAAACTTGTTCTTTAATATACTATTTTCTAATTTGCGTTTATTAACGTTTCTCAGTAAGAGTTTATGGCTATCTATAAAAGCACACTGTGCTTTAATGAATTTAGGGTTATTTAGTCTTTGTATGCTGCTTCTGACTTGTCAGGTAACAAATTACGGCAATTTCGCGAATTTTGGGCGGAGTGCAAACTAAATTCTGTTGGCTCATATTTTATTTATTATTATTATGTTGTAACACTAATATTTGTAAATTACGAGTAAATAATTTGTAAATTTTATTTTTAATGACAGACGACAGAAATGATTCAAAAAATCAGGTGGGCGCCGAGTGCTACCAACTGATACCAACTAACACAAAATTCTCTAGACGACAAAAATATATTTTTTTAATTAAAATAAGAAAACAGGGGGCGCAAATTAGAAAAAATAGCATAAAGTACTCGTTTTATAATGGCATTAGCGCACTCGCTCGTTTTCTAACTTGGGATTCGTGCGCGAAATCAACCCTTATAAAACTTGTTTATAATATACCTACTATTTTGTATTTTGCGCTTTTTACGTTGTTTTTAAAGGAATAATTTTTAAATTTAGGAAATTTTGCATCAGTTGGTAACAAAAAAATCAACTCAAACTCACGTTTGTCATACTTTTTAGTGAATTTCCCGACGAATTTAAAAAAAAGGCTTTTTAAGGCTTCTTAAACATTTTGACATGATTTTGACCAATTCAGGAACAAATTTTTTCGACCACCACTGGTAAAATATAACAAAATTGACTACACCCAGTATGTGACGAAGGCAATGGAAAATTTTAACTCATTAATAAGCAATTAAAAAAGACATTGCCCTGTCCTAAATTCCAACATTTTCCAAATGTCAACAAACCTCTGTCAAATCGTACTGCAGTTTTGACAACTGTCAAGTCATGTTTACAAAAATATTTGTTTTTCCGTGATTTAGTAACATTCCTGATACGAATCTCAAGGTAAGCGTTTGATAATATCAACTTCGTTATCATTTATTATCAAATTTTTCGCGTAATTTCAATTTGTTGTAATACAGTAAAAGTATGAAAATTTTAATTGTACCAAAATTAACAAAAATTATATGAATAAAACATCATGTGAATTTCCAATTTCGCTTTAAATTTATTCATAAAAACTGAAAAAATCGTTCCATTATTGCGAAACCTTAAAAAACATGAAAAAGGCGTAGGGCAGCTTTCATTTTTCCACACCGCCAGGTTGGTATCAATTCTCACGTGGTCCACGTCACTGGCGCGAAACTCAAATCGAACAATTGATGCACAACTCATCCGATTGATAATAATTGATAACGCCATGAGGTCAATTGATGTAATAACAACTGTGCCCGTTTTAAGGTCACGCCGACTTCTGTGTCACTTTATTTACTCAAAGAAGCCCCAACAAGATGCAACCCAATCGACGAGATTTTCGAAACCCCTTTCCAAGACCGTGGATGCGGGACACGGCAGCGGCAGCCCCCGCCTCGGGGAACATCGGCCTAAAGGGCATCGTCGCAGGTAATGCAATTTTAGTTGAAAAAACGAATTTATTGGGAATTTATTGCAGGGGGGCTCACTGGAGGCATCGAGATTTGTATTACCTTCCCTACGGAGTATGTTAAGACACAATTGCAACTCGATGAGAAAGGGGGGCGCAAACAATACGACGGAATTGTGGACTGTGTTAAGAAGACTGTCAAAAATCACGGGTTTTTCGGGCTCTATCGGGGCCTAAGTGTCCTCATCTATGGGTCTATACCCAAAAGTGCAGTCAGGTAAAAATACAATTTTTTCTCGTAGTTAAAAATAAAATTTGTTTACTATTTCTAAATTATTATCATTCAACTATGATGCAAGACAATAATAAGAGATTTTGAAATTTTGATATTTATAAATCGGTTGTTTATCCCGGTTGCCGTGGCAACGATGTATTTAGCCTTTTCTGACTTAAGTAATAGCCATATTAGCTCTCTTTGTCTAGTGACGTCACTAATTCATTCTATTAAATTTGACAGATTCGGGACTTTTGAATATTTGAAAAAGCTCGCAATGGACGAGAAAGGGGCCCTCACCCCATCGGGTCGCCTCCTCTGTGGCCTCGGCGCCGGCGTTTGCGAGGCAATTTTGGCCGTGACGCCAATGGAAACGATAAAAGTGAAATTCATCAATGACCAACGCAGTGGTAAGCCCCGTTTTCGGGGTTTTTTCCACGGTGTCAGTATGATAATTCGTGAACAAGGCATCGGTGGCATCTACAAAGGCCTTGTTCCTACCATTCTCAAGCAGGGTTCCAATCAAGCAATCCGATTTTTCGTTATGGAAACGTGCAAGGATCTGTATCGGGGCGGTGACCCCGACAAGAAAGTCCCCAAGGCTGCAGTGGGGGCTTTCGGGGCCCTAGCCGGGGCGTGTTCGGTGTTCGGGAATACACCGATTGATGTCGTCAAGACGAGAATGCAAGGCTTGGAGGCACACTTATATAAAAACACAATGGATTGTTTCTTGAAGATTTGGAAAAATGAAGGGCCATTTGCGTTTTATAAAGGGACAGTGCCGAGGCTGAGCCGAGTCTGTCTTGATGTTGCTATCACGTTTATGATTTATGACAGCATCATGGATATTTTCCATAAAGTGTGGCCTTGATTTTATGACAAGATATAGATTTTATGATGGTTTAAATGTGTGGGAGGGGTGGTGACGTAAATTATGTTTTGTTTAATTTATTTGATGCTTGTTCAATGTTTCGTGTTGTTAAGTTTTGTCATAAAATGCCATTTGTATGAAATTTTATTATAAGGGACATGTTTTAAAACTTATTCCATACTTGTTACCATCCAGGAGTCGTGTTCGCCAATCTCCGAATCCTCCTTGTGTTCCTGTCTTGATCCCTGATCTTCTTCTCCATTTCTGCATCGGTGAGGGTTTCCAAGAACGGGGCCCATTGGTCGCTTTCGCTCGGTGTCCTGAAAGGCACCTCCACTGTAGGCAAGGGGGCCTCGCTGTAGGCGTAAGTCCTCTGATGCCACGACAATTGACCTCTGATAGAATACGCAATCGCTGTGACGAATTCACCACCCAAACCCAGCTCAGAACAAAGAGTCAAAGCAAATTCTTCCGGATTGTTTTGTTTCTCGGACATGTCCCATTCAACTTGATCAACTAGAGAAGTGTTACCCACGTGGATGTTGAGTTTGATAATGACACGTTGATCGGAACCCTCCTCGATGATTCCTGAAGGTTCGGCCGGGAATGCGTCCAGTTGTTGGCGGATGGCTTGGGCGATTGCCGGGACGAAGGTCAGCGGGTTGAGGTCGAGGTCGTCGCAGAGGACCTCCGCGAACTGCTCAGGGGTGATGAGGCTCTCTAAAAAATATTTTACTAAGTTGGGAAGATTGGTTTCAATATGGCCAACTTAATTTCAGTCAGGGGTCACTACAAAAAATTACCGTTTTTGTTCCATGTGAAGGTGTCCCTCAGCTTCTGCCCCTCAATCTCCATGTCCAGCCTTATGGGGACTAGCAGCTCCCCTTGTGCGGCATTTTGCATGTTCAAATCTGGATCAGTATCGTCGAAACACAATGGAAACGTCCTGACTTTCTTCGCCGCTACTCTATTCCTATTAATGGGGGTTGCTTGGGGCACAGCGTCTAAATGACTGGAATTGGGAAGTGACGGTACCCATTGCATCGATTTCTTTGATTTGCTTTCTCGTGGCATCGGTGGATCGGATGTGTGTACCGAGACAGCCTTATACCTGAAAATAGCCCCAAAATAAAGACAAATCACTGAAAAACACAAAGCAAACTTTTCGTCATTTCCCTCGATGATATCTTCCACTTCCGATGCACGAAGCAATGACACACTACTGGCTAAAACGTGCTGACTTAAACCTAATTCGATGAGACGTTTGCGTTCCTCGTTTGTGATTGATCTTCGGTACATTCCAGGGTACTTCTTGTAGAGGGAACCCCTGAACAGGCGCAGGTAGTTTCCCACTTCGGAACCAACGCAATAATACTCCCCATTTTCTTCCAATTGAAAAGTTATCGGTTTTTCACCGAAAGTGCGAATTGCCATTGCGGCGTCCCCACACTTTTTGAGGTTATGTTGCACAAATGTCACTAGTGTCAAAATTAAAACACCGAAACTTTTAAAATTTTGGCAGTGTTGTCTTAATAAAACTTTTAATAACTGTACCCTACTTGTGACCCATTCATTTATAACTATTAATTAATTTAAATAAAAAAAAAATTGACAAAATTGATGGAAAATGGAAAATCCCCAGAAATGATGACGATTTATACCAATTTCTCCGTAAGTAAGTAAAAAAATGCTCGTCACATCAATTTCTAGTGTGAATTCTTGTCTGAAATGAATTGATAATTAATTAATTTAAATTAAAAAATTTGAGAAAAATGGGGGAAAATGAAAAATCCCCAGAAATGGGGACGTCAATCGTCAATCTAACCTCAAAATTATGGTCCGTGCCAGTTTCTATAAATACCGCCAATGCTCGGTAAATCTATTTCTAGCGTGAATTCATGACTGAGATGAGCCAAGCGACGCCTTGGCATGAGTCTAGGTTTCGAATCGCTGGTGTCCCTCGTCTCAACCTCTTGGAAGAATTTAAGCGTTCGAGTCCAGGAATACACGAAAGAAACCGTGGAGCATTTAATCGTTTTCGTATCCGTGTACATCATAGTATGCGTATTCCTGTACCTCTCCATATGCCGCTGGAAGCTGATCGACTTCAAAAAAGACGTAAAAAACCCCCACCGAGTCCTCCTCGTGATCGCACACCCTGACGACGAATGCATGTTTTTCGGCCCCACAGTCTTAAACTTCACCAAACAGAACCAATGTAAAGTTTTCCTAATGTGTCTATCGACAGGTTTGGGCCTTGTGGTTGGTTTTTCTGTCATAATTGCTCATTTCCAGGGCAAAAAGTCCGCAAACAGGAATTGTACAAGTCGTGTCGCATGTTGGGGATTGATGACAGTTGCATCACTGTGTGCAACCACACGAACTTGCCCGACCGAATGGGGGCCAAATGGCCGATCGAATTGGTCGCAAAGTTGATACTAAACCACGTTGAGAGCCACAATATTGACACACTTGTCACGTTTGATAAACACGGAGTCAGTTATCATCTCAATCACTGCAGCATTTACTACGCGATCGCTCATCTCAGCATCGAGAAAAAATTGCCCAAGGAATGTTCGGTTTATGTCCTAGAAACTGTCAATTTGTTGAGGAAATATTGGCTCTTGTTGGATATTCCCGTGTCATTTCTTTTGTCCAGGATAAGGTTGGTGGTGTTTTTTCAAGTTGGTACAATTGTCAATTTTTTTGCAGATATTTAGTGACTTCTACAGATCGGGCGCTTATCCATAAAGCCATGAAACAGCATCAGTCGCAATTAGTTTGGTTTAGACGTCTCTACATGCTTTTCTCAAGGTATATGCTTATTAATTCACTACAATTAATGGAATTGTCGGATATAGAATTAGACTTAGAAATAGATGACTAAATTTATACCACTCTAGAGGAAAGAAAGTTTCAACTTTTCTATCGACTTGTAAATACAAACCTACCTCTTGAATTTTGTTGTTTTTGTGCCAAAGTCTATGCTTTGTAAGTTTTTATGAATTTTAATAAAATTTTGTTTCTATTTGGCGTTTCAATAAAGTCAGGCTTGGATTTTGTGGCATTTTCTTATTAAAAATCCTTATTAAATATTAATTTACAAAAATTCACAACAAAAAGTGTCTTAGACGACTCTCCGCACCTCAAAGAACCTCTTTAGGTAGTAAACCTGTCCAAGCGTCATTGCGATCAGAATGAGGGCTTCAAAAAACGACCACATGACCACTCTTGAATTCGTATTTTCGTTAATACTCCTGTGAATGCGATCCCTGACTTGCATATACTCCTGTTCTTGTTTGACTCCCGTCAACGAAGCTGCAATTTAGGGTTATTACTGCTCGCAAAGGGGCCCACTCACCGCTCAATTCCCGTATCATATCCTCCAGCTTGTTCGTCGACTCGCCCTCTTGGTGCTCGGCTTTGGGGCCTTCCCCGATGGCCATATTAAACATGACCACTTTGGGCGTCATTGTCGACATTTTATTCGAAAAACAGTAAGTGTAAGTGCCGGCGGTGTGCGCCGAAAATGTGTATTTCCCCGAAGTTTCGCGCTCGCCCTGGTAGATGACTTTCTCGTCGGGGCCCACGATCCGGACGTCGATGTCGAGGAAGCCCCCTTCGGCTATCTCGAAAGTCAAGCCTGGAAATGGGGTCAGTTGGGCCTAGAGGAGTTTCTAACGACGTACCCATTTTTGTGCCAGCTTCAACTTTGTCGAAGAAACATTCCTCGGCGTGGGCGTCCACGGTGATGAAATAAGCCGATGTTGAACTTGTGTACAAGAGGAGAATGGAGATTAGCAGTTTTGAACACATTTCTTGAGATTTACTTTAAATTCTTCGGCCACGTATCTAACCTAACTTCTTCTGTCAAAAAGATGCGCAGCCAACATGACAAATTTTATGACACCAAGAGCACTGATTCAAGAAACTCAAATTCAAACTTTTCCCTAAATTCTTAATTAGTTTTTGCATAAAATCCAAGGTCCTTAAGGAAAAAAACAAACTTACGGCAAGTCACACGATTTTGATTGAAATTTATACTATTTGGTTGGTGACCAAAATTGTCATATTGGCAATGCTGTTTCAGTGTTGTGTTTAAAATAATATATTATTAACTCTTTCAAATTGTAAGTTTTCATTAATTTTAAATTATTTGTGAAAGTGTAAATACTACGAATTTCTCCTCATGGATCATTTGTTTTACTTTAGGTAAGAAAAAACAATACATTGGCAATAAACGTGAAAAAGTGGGGTTAGAAGTGGATTTTACGTTAATTGTCCAAAAAACTAATATACAATGAATTGTTGAGTAGTAAACAATGTCTCCAATGAATTCTCATATAATAGGTAAATTTTTGTTTAAGTGACCTTGACTGTTCAAAAGATCAAAAAAGTTTCAGTGCAAAAGACCGAATGTTAGAAAGATCCAAAAATATTATTAATTACATTTTTTAGATTAGTAGATTTGATTTATCAAAACAAAATCTTGTTTATTTAGGTAAAGAAACTAAAAGGCGTAATGATTTCAATTAAAAATTTTGTTTCGACTTATTGATTGATCAAAATTGTCATGTTGGTAATGCTGTCAAAATTTTACCTGTCAATTTAAAATAATATCTTCTAATTAAAATTGTTAATTCTAATAAATTCTCATACAGTGCTTGTCTATAAATTTTTAATTCTAGTTACCTTGACTGTTGAAAAGATTTTAGAGAGAAAGACCGATTGTTCGAAATATCCAAAAATTACATTCATTACATTTTTCAAATTAGTAAAATAGTAGATATACAACTAACGTTTAAATCTCATTTATTCAATCAAAATAAGCGACAGAGTACTTCATATTAACACTATGAGTTGAAATTTTTAAGAGGATTTGATTTTCAAAAGAAAAAAATCACAAAGTTTGCAATTCAGATCATATATTTTAATAGACAGAACATAATAAAATGCATACAAATAATAATTAAAACTCCTAATAGACAATTTTTTTAATCAAATCAGAATCAACGCTTTTCACAATTGAATTTCGTATAAACTAAGACCAAAAGAATAAACACACTTGCTCAAACAATGTGTCAGAGAACTATAAAAATTTTGCACTCTGAAATTCGAGTAAAAATAAAGCAAGTCCTGTGCTAAATCCGGAAACGCTTCAGTACTGATATGTGGATAAAAAGTTTTAACGAGTTTAAATTCGAGTCGACTATTTGAATAAGTTAAATGGTCTTCCAAACTACTTGGAATAATTAAAATCAATTTGTATTTTTTACTTTTGAAGTTCTTTCTATAATCTTGCAGCTTTTTATGTAAGATTTCCAGATCTTTAACGACTAAATCCAAGTCGGACGATCCTTTCTCATAGAGAAAAAACCTCCTACTCACTGTATATTTCGTATGTTTAGTATAATGCAACAAATCACTCGACTTTTGCAAAACTAAACTCTTCGGCAACGAATAAATATGACTCGTAACAACATAATACTCAGTTCTTGAATCACGTTTCATATTTTTGTATAAAAAATCAGCAGATTGGTAAACTCCTCCTTGGTGTAAAAAGCCAAAAAAAATAACTAAAACTAAATTGAGAATAATCCATAACTTGATGAAAGTATTTGTTTTGGCCACTCCAATCGTGGCTTTTTTCATCGTTGTTGCTTTGATTAAAACGTTATCACATTCGGGAAACACACTATTGCTACATAAATAAACCAGTGGGAGTATTAACGGGATCAAAAATCGTGGTTCCTGGTGGGGGAATATCGATAGAATTGCCAAAGGGCCCAAATATGACAACATCATAAGCCCTTTTATACTCCGCACAGTTGGTAACAATTGATGTCGACCAATCACAAAACTGCAAACACAATCTCAATTAATCGGTTACGCCGATTCGGTTACTTACTTGTATGCGGCTTGGCAAAAATTCAAGTATGCGAATAATGCGAGTAAATTGAAAAGTAAAGGCATGTTTACAAGTAGGTGTAAAAATCGTGGATGTAGCCCGTGTTTAGCTAAATTATTCGAGTCTATATTGTATAAAATGAAGTTTAAAGGGGTGAAAACGAAATTATTGATTGTCACGTGTAAAACCCCAACTTCTCCCCAGGTTATATACCCGTAGTAAAACGAGTCGATTATAACACTGAAGAAAATCGTCGGAATTGAGCACACAATCAGGGCTAATATCCTTAAATGGTAATTCATGGGGGCTACCAATTTGTTACCAAGGCCTCTATAGAGCCAAAAAAACACCGGAAACATCGCAAATGCGAGGAAAGTGGGACGGTTGAAGAACCCTAAAACTGTAATAACACTAATTTGCAAACAATTACGCAAAGAATCCGACGTTAATAATAATTTTAGTTTATGAAACTTTGCTTTTTCGACAACTGTCCTACTAGTCTCATATCTGTAATTCAAGTATTCTCGTTTTTTGATTAGAGTATTTGAAAAAACTAGACTTTCACACACGTAGTATTGAAGAAGTGCAAATAGTACAAGTTCGAAAGTGTTTGAAAAAGTTCTAGTGCCGTAAACTATAATTACGTAAGAACTTGCTAATATAACAAGTCTGTTTTTGTACTTTTCATTGTTGTTGATGCAAATTTTGTATAGTATTGTGTCAACTAGAAATGATAAAGTGCACATTAATAGCCGAGGACCTACTACGACTAAATAGGGCGTAATTATGGACAGTGTTGAGTATTGTTTTAGGAAATATTCTACAATGTTGGCTAACTTGTAAACCATGCCTATGGTAAAATAGGGGATTGTCACGCTTCGGACTGGGAATGTGGCATTAAATTCCCATGGAATGTTGTTTTCGACGTGGAAAGCTTTGCCTGAAAAATTCTTTTAATAAAAATTTAATTTGTAAGGGGTTTTACCAGCTTGCACTTCAATTGTTTGAAAAAATTCATCAGGGTGGATGTAACCGAATTGTGGAATTAAAACTAAAATAATTCGGGCTAATGCGAGGTACCAATAAAGAGGAGGAAGTTCCGGAAACATTCTCGTTGGGAGGTTTTAGCTTTTTTAACAAAATTGGTTTGTTTACATCTTAAATTTTGACAATTATAATGTCACAATGATGTTAATAACCTTAATTTCTTGACATTGTTTAACATAACCTAAAAAAATTCAATATTTTTGATTTTGAAGTTTTGGCTTTTTTTCTGAAGATTTGTTGTAATTTTATTGAAATGGGAGAGGGAAAAAAGTTAATGTTGCCAACTTAATTTTAAAGTCAGAGATTAATTTGATCGAAAATGCCTGATATATAGGCAACCAACAATACACTATCCAGTTGTGACCAAAAAAATTTTTTTTATTTTATGTAAACTAGCATCTATTATACAGGGTTTTCATTTTAAAAGGAGCCAGTCTCAATAACTTTTCACATTGAGTAAATATATTGCTGTTAGGATCGCGAGTGGGAAGTTCAAAACCAACATTAGTTACATTTTAGGATTCATCCCTTTTAGTCGCTAGCCACCCCTACTTTAAAATTTTAAATGGCAACCCCTATTTATAAAATATTTTCGGAAAGGGAAAAAATAAGCCTATCTAAATGTCAAAGCAAAAATTTTTTTGTCGATTCGTTTTTTAGTTAAGTATGGTTTAATTTTTGAAACTTGAAATGAACTGTCTTTCCTTTTTTTAATTTACATTCTCTGATGCTCATAAACGTAATGAAAAAGCAATCGTAGAAGTGTTGTATAACACCCTACTTACTAAAAAGAGACTCACAGTTTTGTTTTTAGCACAATTTTTGATATTTTATCGAGATCAAATTTAGATTATCTTTGTTCGAATTTGAAAAAACAATGGTGATACCTGACTTATCGGCCGGATTACCTACAAGAATATTAAATAAATAATTAATAAAAGACAGACAAAATTGTAGACGCACGTTTAATGTTATAAAAATAAAATATTAGATCAAAGCTATCAATTTTATTATAAAGTCAAAGAAAATGCTTAATATATAGGCAACCAACAATACACTATATCCTATTGTGCCAAAAAATATTTTTTTAAATCTTATGTAAAACTAGCATCTACTAGTTGTAAAATTAACCGGAGAATACGCCTGTATAAACCGTTCTAACCTAGGACTAATAGTTTTTGAGATATTACTGTTTTTTAGAAAAATAACCTAAAAATGGCTCTGTAGCCAGAATCGTAACCCGGAGCGACTCCGGGTTTGCGCCATTAGTTCGACAGATTCGTAATCAGCGCGTCAAAATCTTTAAGATAAAATAGGTTTAAATCAAATCAAATGTTCAAAAACACCATTTTTTATGACAAGTTTTTGCTGCAAATTGCCGCAAAACTGTGCCTCAAAGAAAAAATATTTTGACGTAGACATATGAAAAATGAGCCGGAGAATCGATGTGCGTGGAGAAAACCGTAAAAATCATAATAATTTACAAGTTATAGTCAATATTATATTTCGTAAATTTTTGACTTTATTAGCAATTTTCTCGATAACTATTTATCGTAGAACACTGATCCTTTTTGTATTTAAAAGAAAATTAAATTTTCTTTTCAATAGTGCCAAAAATAAGAGGCCAATAAGTCCGGAGTTATTGGCTCCGGGTGCCAAAAATCGACCAAAATCTCGACAAAAATCCAAAGTTTTTTCAACTTTAAATTTAGACTAAATAACGTTTTTAACATTTCTGAAGTTTCTATAAACTCAAAAAAGTGTATAAAACGTCGACTTTTATTGGGAAAGTTGACGTTGTGTGGAGGTTGCGGATAATTCAGTTTATTGTTATCAAGAACACGGATTTTTTGAGTTCTACTAAAATGGAAGCTGGATAAAAACACAAAAAGCCCCCTCAAGTGTGACAACCCCGTGCGCAATTACAAGTTTAAGTTATAATTAAATTTCAAAATAGAGTTTGTTTGTGTTAAGATAAGCTATCATGACTCATTCAAAATTGTCAGTGTCACATCAACATGGGTTCCACAGTTAGTATTATTTTACGAATTCGTAATTTGAGTAATAGTGACATTAGTTCGGTTTGTGTTTACGATTTTGACAGTTTCGATTTTGGGGCAACTTTAAGACCTGACAAAGTTTTTAATGGAAAGTCTATACCGGTCAAAGGTTGTCTCGAACGCACAATTGAACTGTCAACAATTTCGTCCAAATGCCCCTTCACCACACGTATACAGTACCAAAATGGATCTGAAGACATCTACAGGATGAATTACAAACACATTTTCGATAACTCGGACCCCAATTTCAAATACTTATCAAAATCACATGATATCACTTATAAACAAACCGGTCCCCGAGTCGTCGAACTAATAATCCGAAATACAGAGGAACAAATCGAAGATCAAAAAGCCGAAAAACTCATTTCTGACGGTTGCAAACTAATGACACGGGGGAAGTACACAGAGGCATCAATCAAGTTCCTTGAAGCGTCCCAAAAAGCCAATCAGGAGACCACAATCCTGACATTACGCAAAAGTACCGAAAAGTTGCAAACAGTCAAAGCAAACAACGACGACGATAAGCGCGCCAAAACCCTAAATAACGAAGGTTTGCAACTTTTGAAAACGTCACATTTTAACGAGGCTTTACACAAATTCGGTGAAGCACTCAAACTGGTCAAAAACCCAGAAACGGCCATTCTAATCGAAGACAATTTCCGGATTGCCAAAGATGCGAAACTCAATCAAGATGCTAAAAAACTCAACCAGGAAGGTTTACTATTAAAACACCAGAACGACAACGAGACAGCTGTTTTAAAATTCGATGAGGCACTAAGACTCGCCCTTGATGTAACTCTCCTCAATTCAATCAAGTCAAACAAGGCTGAAGCACTCCGACTCGATGGCGAGAAGACACTACAAGAGGCTTGGCGTTTGGATAACACCCCCGAGGCTGTTTACAAGTTCGCCAAAGCCAAATATTTGCTCCAAGAAAGCGAAATTTTGAAACCTTTAAACTCGAATCTAATTGAGATAATTGAATGTAAGACTCTCGGTGATAGGTTTTTCAATACAGCGCTCCAGTTGGAGAATGAGGGGTCGCGGCTTGTCGATAAGAGTCTCAAAACGGGGCAATCGTATTGTAAGAGTGCCAGAGGCAAGTATGACTCTGCATGGAAACACTACAAGAGAGCGAAAGACACCTATTGGGAAGGACGGCAAAAGGGCGATGAGAATTTCGACCGGTGGCTCGAACTCACCCAAATTGCACTTTCCGGAATCGAGAAAATCCTGAACGAGTTGGAGAAAACCGAACTCGAAATAGCCCTAGTCTGATATCTATTTTTGTTGCCTCAATGGTAACAGATTTAACTTCAGTTTTTAAACAAAATAAAACGATTTAAACTTGTTTTTTTTTATTTAAATAGCTATTCCTTGACTGTAAACATTTTAGGGGCGCCAATTTTACCCCAAAGATAATTCTAGGGCTCAACAAACAACTAATATAACCTTAAACGTCAAAATTCAAAATTTATTATCTTCAAAAGGGGCTTTATTGGGTTTAGGGCTAAATTGGTCGAAATTGTAAATTGCCAAGAAGGTTGTGAACAAGTTGGGACTGAAATGAAAAAAATCTTAAGCGAGTTCGAGAATATGGAACTCGAAATAACCCTTGTCCCCTATCTATTTTTATTACTTCAGTAGTGACACACCTAACCCCACTTTTTGACCTGACCAAAAAAAAAACAATTTAAGGTTTTTTTAAATTAAAATAAAACGATTTAAGCTTATTGTCTTATTCATCGACTGTGAATATTTTGGGGGCACCAATTTTGTCCCAAGGCTCGACAAACAAACAATATAACCTCAAACGTCAAATTTTTTAGATATTTGGGTACTTTTGAAATGAATAAAAAATAATGCTTTTTGAAGGGTTTTAGGCTTTTTCGGTTGTTGACTTTTGACTTTCAACCTTGATTTTTAAGACGCCAAATGTCCTGGTCCAAATATAACATTTTACATCCTACTTCAGTGGGATCTAGTTTATCAAAATTAATTGTAAACTGACGAGGTTGTAAACAAGTTGAGACTAGAATAACCCTCCTGTTTGTATTTTTGTACTTTATGCTAGGAAACATAACCTCACTTTACAAGTATGAATAGTCTCCCTATTGAGTTTTCGAGTGTTGATCAACCCTCACGGACTAGTCTCACCGGAAAAGTGCTCCTGGGGCTCACTGGCAAGTCAATGACATAGTCTCAACCCTTAAATATTTTTTTTTTAGGAGGGGCTGCATTGGGGCTCAGTGTCGTCTGTGCGTCTTTCGTGAGTCCCGCATTTCGTAAATTTTGCTTGCCTTATATTCCCGCCACGAGAAACCAAATCACGAATGTTTTTACGGCATTGAGGGGGCGACAAGGGACTTTGCTAGATGTGGGTTCAGGGGACGGGAGAATTGTCCTAGGTTGATTTACTTGCTCCCAATCCGATTTAATTCGAGTTTGTAGAAGCCGCCAAATGTGGTTTTGTGGCCCATGGTGTTGAACTGAACTTTTGGTTGGTTTTGTATTCAAGATTAAATTCCTTGAGAAAAAGTTTAAGTAAAAAAACAACGTTTTATCGGAAAGATTTGTGGAGTTTTCATGTTGGGGATTATGACAATATTGTGATTTTTGGGGTTGAACAAATGGTATTGAATATTTTTGGGGTGAATCCCAATGACGTATAAAATTGTAGATGGCTGCGTTAGAAAATAAGTTTAATACAGAGTGCAAAAATGGGTGTATTGTGGTTGCTTGTAGGTTTCCTTTGCCCAATAGGAAACCTTTTAAGACTTTTGGACACGGCGTTGACACAGTTTGGGCCTATGAAATAATTAAAACTAAATAATGACTTTTTGCCATAAAATATACATTTTACATGTAATTAAAACCTCTTTATTGTTTAATAAACTCGTACTTGCGATTGTTCTGTTATTTATTGCCTGCGATTAGCCATAAAATTGCCGTTTAATTTAGATTTTCAATTCATAAAAAAATATAAAAACCTGAAAAACAAGTTTTTCTCTTATTGTAAAACCGGAATTTGGAATAAAAATGTCCAAATTTAGTTTCCTCATCGTGGTCTTTGCCCTAATTAGCATCACTGTAGCGGTAAATATTTTTTTCGAAAATTATTTTTCATTAATATTACTTTTTTAAGCTTAAAAGCGCTTCAAGTGACTTTCCATTGAAGGTAATGGTCCTTATATATTTTTTTGTTGTTGTCAAAGTACTTTTTCAGTGTATGGGTGAGAAATGGCACTATGAAAACTGGAAATGCTTAGAAAAAGAAGGATGCTACAACCCTGATACTAAATATTTTGACATATTGTGTATGTTCCCCAAGTAAAAAGTTGGCTCATTCAATGAAAATAAAGTTCTCGATGTGATATTGTTATTTCCTTTATTTTTGCAAAGCAAAAACCTTGTAGTTATGAATAGTATATTACAATCGAAATGGGAAATGACATTTCCCGGCCTCCATAAGGTTAGGAATCGGTCTGTTGCTATAGTTATTGTGAATAAAAAAGTATAAGTCAAATAGGGGCTACTCCACACCCTTATATTGCATGTTTTTAATAATTTAAATAATTTAGGTAAAGTCGCGGTCAATTCATGGTGGCCATTTAATTTATTGCAAAGTTGGTCACATCTAGTGTGTGAGTTGTGTCTATGTTGGCACTGTTGGCAGCAAAAGAAACTAAATGTCAACAACTGTGACAGGCGCAAAAGATTTTGGTAAACTCTAGCGGTTCATACATAAGAAGGTAACGCAGACTTACCCAGGTTAACACAAGTTATGACGTCATGTGTATTGCCAATAATGTGAAGTATTCTAACTCGACTTTTTCAGAATTGCCAATTTTGTAGATATGTCCCTAAAAAACAAATGGCTGTTTAAAGTCGGATTCACACAACTCAATTTTTACAAATTTATGCAGGGAAGTGGCCACTATGAATTGACCTCGACTTTAGCAAATTGTGTTAGCAGGAATTAATATAGTTTCAAATGTCCAGTTATTTTATCTAAGACGCTTTTAGGGGCCGGTCCTATCGCAATGACAGTCCGTGACCCTGGGGCCACTTGCGTCTGTCCCGCATCCCGTATCACACTCGCCAAAACTTTCAATTCTTTGGCTTTTTTTTCTAAATCCAACAATTCCTGTTCAGAGTCAACCCGAACTGCAATTTTCGTCCCACCTAAAAATTCGCACTTTTATACAACAAACTAGAGTAAAACCCAAAAACGTACCGTATTTAAGCCACCTTTTGAGCGTTTTAGGAGTGTGATTCAAGGCTTTCGCATACGCCGCCACTGCAGCATGACCACATTGGGCCGCAACTTTACCTTTTTGCATTTTTAGGTCATTTCGGACGCCCATTATCAACCGGTATTCGTCATTTGGGTCCTCAAACTGTTTTAATTAAAAAAAAATTTTTTTTGAGAATTCTAACCTCAAAACGTTCCTCCATTCCGGGCTTCCATATGTTGTTATTAACCGGCAGTTTGCGTAAATATTTTAAGAGAATGTACGTCGAAGTTGCCCCAATTAGGGTACCTGCACTAAAGACAGCCAAATAGGCGTTACTCGAGATTATCCCCATTTCGAAAAAATTAGGTTAGGGAAAGGTAAACACGCCACTGGACACTGTCAGGCAACATGGAGAACACCGGTGTATTGTTAGTTGCCTGACTATTTCATTCTATTTTAAAATAATTATAGTTATTTAATTAAATAACTGATTTATCACTATTGTTTAATCACAATTGATACACTCATGCGTCAATGAATTTTATTTTATAAAAAAAATGGATAAAAACACTGTGTGAACGACAGGTATGTACTTCCCCGCAAAAACCTATAATGATAAGGGTAAACATTTTAAACAACATTTACCCACTTTGCGTGGCATTGAAGTCGCCTATCACTTGCAACACGTGTTTGTAATCAAAAATGTTACAACTATTACAACCCATGATTATCAAAGAAAAGCTACACAGTTTTAATGGAAAAGCACGCACTTTTCTGGAAAATCCATTGTTGAGAGATGCCTCCAACGTTCGCATTCACCGCTCGGGAAATCATCGACCAGGGAAGAGTCCCACAGGACGTGTTCAATGCGTTAAAACAGTGGTGCCAATCTGAGAAGCTTCCGGTTTTAGCCGACGAACAACTGGTGCTCTTCCTGCTGTCCTGCTACAATGAGTTGGAGGCGACTCAAAAGACCATTCATGCACACTTCAAGTGCAAGGTTTCGGCACCTGAGTTGTTTTTCAATCGGGATTTTTGGGCCGAAGATGTACAAAAAGCGATGAAAGTTTGGTGAGGAATTTTTGTTTGTAGGAAAATAATTGAGTTCGAAAAATTGCAGTCAAATGTCGATTTTTCCCACAAGGACAGCGAATAACGAAGCAATTGTTTTTTGGAGGTTGCAGGACTTTTCCTACTCCAAGTTTAATTTAGAATATATCGTTAAATTGGTTTTTATGATTGGGGAGTTTGCTTGTTATCAGGACCCCCCTGAAGGGGTTGTGATCCTGATTGACCTCAAAGGGCTGGGTTTGTGGCATTTGACCAAACTACGGATTGGTCCTTTGAGGAAATTCTTCAAATTTGTTCAAGAGGGGTATTCGTGTAAAATAAGACAAATCCATATTTTCAACACTGTCTATTTTATCGACAAAATTATGGTCATTTTGAAGCCATTGATGAGCAAGGAGCTTTACAATATGGTAATGAAAATCGCAACTTGAACTAAGACTAAAACTTATCTTGTAGATTAAATTCCACCCAAGTAACATGAAAATGGAGAGTTTTTTTGAAACTCATTTACCGAGGGATTGCATCCCTGCTGATTACGAGGGTAGTTTACCCGATCAAGCCACCTTAAGTGTGCAAACTTATAATGCGCTTCAAGGGATGAATAAATTTTACAGGGATGAGGAACAGCAAGTGAAGGCTTACAAAATCGTGCAATAGGTGACAATTAAAATTAACTAAATTAACAACTAAAATTAGTAATAATATAACACAATTTATTTAGAAAACCCTTGAACACTTCGAAATTAGAATAATATTATTTCCAATAACTTCTAAGTTTCTCTTCGGCGTCAAAAAACGGCTTCAACTCTCTAAATTCCTGAATCATTTTCTCATTCATTTCTTCAATTGAGGACAACTCGCCCCCATACTCCTTTGGCAAACAAGCACTCGGTATGCAATCCTCGTAAAATTTGCTCATATCTGTCTCTGGTGGGTGTGTTTTTATCTAAAATATCCAATAAGAAATAGTTTTTTATTCACCCTGTGAGAACATACAATCGACATTAAATCGCTCTTGATGAAAAATTTAACAACTGAAATCAACTTATCAAAAACGTAATTAGAATTTAGAATATGAATCATCTTAATTTTCAGCGGCATTGCCTCTTGGAGAAACTCTAAGAATTTTTTTGCCGCCCCTATTTTCAAACGTGTTATGTGCATGAAGCCAACCTGAAAATGCAAATGTCCCTAAAAAATTAAATTTCCGGTTTTTTACTTACACCTTTCATGTCGATCACCACGACTAATTCATTTGGCGGATTTCGTCTTTGAGTCACATCCAGTAACATATAACTGAGCTTCATTGCATGAACCCAATCAAAATTTTGGTAATTTGTGTCGTTGAGTTTGAAAAAGTGGATGACAGTGTTGTTGGACATGCGGGCAGGAATGCTGACACAACTCCTGGAAAATTAATTAGTGATAAACAGAAAATTTGTTGTAAATTGTCGCAGTTTTGATATGTGTAAGAAATAAGAATAAATAAAAGTTTGATTGCAAGGCTTTTATGTTTTATTTTCACCCATAAGCGAATGAAATAATCTCAAAATAAAAAAAAATCGAATTTTTAAACTTTACAGTTTTCTGTAATTAGTGCTATCTATCCGTCATATTTTAAACACAATAAAAAATTAAAACTAAAAATCGAGAGAAAATTGAAATGAAATAATAAATGAGGTCACTTTCACCAATTATGTATAACAAGTGCCATATGGTAAATCAAATAATTTCACCCAAAACCATTAATTAGTCAATTAAAATTGCGTAATATTAAAAAGTGAATGAATTTAAATTTCTTTCCCTTTTACTCTAGTGTGGCAACAATTCCCAGAAGTAAAAATGTAAGTCGACCTTGCTACACAATCAATTGCAATTTCAAACTATTTATTCATTTACATTTAACAATTATCTCATTAAAAAATTTTAATGTGGCTTAATTAACTAGACAAACTCTTTAACTATCTACTTTCCATAGTTTTTATTTTCATCAATACAAATATTTTTCTATACTTCGCTTTACGATGCAATTGCGCTTTTTTGTAAGGTTGGTAGAAGGGTTAAGGACCCAAAACGAATATTTATAATTCACCAATTGTCACCAAATTCCCTATATTTTTTAATGAGTTTGAAATAATAATTTAAAAAAATGCACTTACACAACTTTCCTCGCCTTCTTCAGCTCCTCACTATCAATATCCCTCGAATTGAAAATTTCGGGCGCTTCATTTTTGATTTTAAAATACGCCTGAATCGTATTCCTGACACAGTGTACATCATTCTGACACGATAAAAGAAACAAAACTATTAATTCATCCGGCAATTGTGGCAATTTCGTATTCTTCAACCACTCTTTGACATCATCAATCGCCGTTTGAGTGGTCCTCCCCTCATCCACAATACTCTTCGCCTTAAAGTGATACTGCAAAGCCATTATCACACACACACAACACGCAATTCACCACGAATGTGTCACTTTATAAATTTCCGTTTGTATTATACAGCACATAGCATTTATCAAGGTGATAGTTTAAATTATTAACATAATTTCTAGTGCGCGATTCGGTGAATTATGATGAGACTGGATAAAATAATTGTTGGGCGATTGTTTAATTATGAAATTCTTAGCCAGCAAGAAAGCGTTTTAGTGTTAAATTAGTTATTAACCAATCCAGGTATTGCATCACGAACAAATGATTGGAATTCTTTGCAAATCAAATTCATTCGCCGCTAATTGTAAACAATTCGAATTACACAATAAGGAAAATTTTTCTATGTCTAGCCCTGAACTCTTTTATTATCAGCGACGTCAAAAATGTACATTAATTACCAGTTACGTTTTTTCAATTAAATTTTGCTTGTAACTGATAATGTACACAAGCCGCGCAGCGGCGAGTTGATAAACTACTTGCATGGCCTCCTAGGACGAGTCATAGGTAACAAAATTAAAAAAAGATCTGTGATCCGAATCAAATATTATAACAACAATCAGTAAGTATTAAAATAAGTCTTATTGAAGAATCATATATCACAATTGTGAGACGAAAACAAGAATAAAATCAAATAAAACACTTAATAAAAAAACGTTTCAATAATGAAATGCACAGCACTCCGAATTATATTTCCTATACTCCTTAAAAAAGATGGTTGATTTACTTGTAAATTATTTTCAAACTGTGTAACAGGTCTCACATACCCATCAGTCCTTGGCCTAGACCACAGATTCCTCAAATCTTCAATTTCCTGTTTCTTAGACCCAATAACCGGTCTTTAAAGAAGAAATTGTAAAACAATCAAATTATTGTATACAATTTTTTACAATTTTTCATTTTAATGTGCATCAAGTAGGTTGTGCAAGTCTAAATGCATCTTTAATTTAAAGCCCAACTCACACAAAAAATGTCAATAATGAAAAAACATCAATATTGACAAAAATCTTTAAGTTTGCTACCCTACGCTGTTAATTTTAATTATTTTTTGTTACCTGGAGTACACATTTATTTGAAAAAATAATTTTTAGGGAAGATTGAAATTGACAGTTTGAATTTTCGCATGGTTGCCACCTTAACATGATCCCTTTCAACGACTACTTCGATGCACATTAATATAGAAACGAGTTATATCTCTGACATACCTTGCAACACCTTTCAGATAACAATCACGATTTAGGACACTCTGGAAGTCATCAATTGTTTCAACTTGTGTGACTGTCTTATGTTTCTGACACACTAATGGGATTTTACGATTTATTGAGCCTTGTTTTAGGAGACATTTTTTCACGCCGTTCCAAATCTACAAATAATGTAATGAATGTGAAATCCCCATTTCTCAACTCACTTGGGACCTCCCCGCCAACAAACTCATATTCCCCATGATGTAAAACCCATTCCTGGCCCTTGACAACGCCACACAAATGCGATTTTCGGTCCCCAAAAACCCAATTTTATCACTACGGACCAGCGATAACAAAACAATTTCAGCCTCTTGTCCTTGAAACCCATCCAAAGTCGACACTTTGACCCCTTCAAGACACTCTTGACCCTTCACCAACTTCTCAATTTCCTTCATTTGGGCCAAATACGTCGCTAGAATAACAACATCCTCTGGTTTGTAACCATTCAAAATTAAATATCGCGCCAAAAGTGTCAAAAAAATCGCCTCGTGACTGTTCTTCTTCGTTGTGAAATTACAGGTTTCTTCTTTTTGTTTATGATCAATGAAAAAAACGTTTTTCACGACTCCGTGAATCCCCGGACGATGCAAAACCGATTCGTGGTCTTTCAAAAACGGATAAATTTTCACTCTGAGCAAGTCGGAGATTTCCGGTCGCATCCGATGTTGGATATCAAGTTGGTAACACTGTATCCCGTTCAAAACCATGCGTTCGAATAAACTCACACTCAAGTGGTAGTTTTTAGAGATTTTGTTGTCAGCAGTGAGAGGTTGGAGTTGTTGGTGGTCCCCTAACAAAATCAAGTGTTGACATTTATCGGTCAGTGCTGCCACAACATGCGCCTCCAGAACCTCCGCAGCCTCCTCAACTATAACAATGGGGCACTCCAACCTCTCCAAAAAGTCTTTCCAACGGGAGGCTATACTCGTCGTCATGCCAATAACAAGCGACTGTTGCATTACCCCCAAAAATTCCTCTCGTTTTCTCCGTCGCTCCCCCTCAGTCGCCAAGTTGAACTTTTTCAATTTTTCACTCTTTGATTGGCCCCCAACTCGCACCAGTTTTGTGGTGAATGGAATTAGGCCTTCAAGAAATTGGTCAAGGGCGTCGTTTTTGTGCGAAATGACCAACATTGGGGTGTTTTTGTACCACAAATGCGAGTTTTGTAGTATCGTAGCGGCGATTTTCACCCCCAAATGGGTCTTACCGGTCCCCGGAGGGCCCTGAATCACCACGAATTCGCGCGTTAGGGCGGCTGTGAACGCTCGCATTTGAGCGGGGTTCAAGTCGAGGAGAGGGTAGCCCCATTTTGATAGAGCTTCAGGGGTGAAGCTCCGTCCGGCGATGAAGAAACGTGAATTGGGGTTGAGATACCGGGGGCTGTACACGGACGTGTCACAATGGACGATATATCGCTCCATGGGGAAGTTTGTCACAGGGAGGCTTTTCAAGGCACTTAAAACGTTAAAATAGGGGTCAAAATATTGGCTACATTCGGCCATTGTGTAACCTTGAGACAAGTTAAGGTCTCTAGGATAAACATCAATCAACTCAATGATGATTTGGGACGATTCTGATAATTTTTGGACCACTTTTGCTTGAAACATTTGATCGAAGTTATTTTTCGTGAAAAGGAGAAGTGAACCGTTCATGAATTTTTTAGAGTCGTCATCGTTAACGACTATTTCAATTTTGAGGCACTCTTCATTGCGTCTTGTCTTATCTTTAAAGATTCTCACATTTCGGTAAATATCTATCACTTTTGTTGATTCTCTTGAACGATAACTCTCGATACCTTCGCGCAAATTTGCTATAAAATCCTCACGTAAAAGCCAAAATTGGACATCCAAATAATGCTCAACATTGTGAAACTTTCCCCGAATAATATTTTTTTGGATGTTGTTGCTCTTGCCCAAAATTTCTTCATGGCTCGGGTAGATGCTCACGTTGCGGAAATTGGATACAATATCATCCAGTAACACCATATTCTTAGAAATTAAACATAATAATTTGTTTGTGAACAATTCATCACTTACCATAATAATTACTCGAAATTGTTACTATTTCTTAGGTTATGTGCAATTGTCATTGTCAATTGTTTCTAACCTCAAAAATTATTTCTAGTAAATAATTATTATTATTCAAGTAAAATGGCTCTTGCATTAACAACAATGTTGTTATTAAGAGTACGACATGCTGCTAGTATAATTCTTTGAGATTTTATACCCATTTGAAATGGAAAACTTCTGGAATATGTAGTTGGCGGTAGAATAACTGGTTAGCTGAAAAGTTAAAGTTTTTAGGGAGATTGTGATAAATGGGATACTCACAGTAGGGTCATTGAGAGTCAGTCCTGCTAAATTACCTAAATTAGGCAATGCTGCCATTTTCACACCTTGTAGAAAATAAACTTAAACAAATCGATCAAACTTCAGATATTTTATTAACAACATTTAAGCTTAATATAATTAATTCAGACTTTGAATCAGAGAACACACCCGAAATATTGCAATAGGAACGCTTCAAATTAATTAAAGAAAAATTAATCCTGTGTATCCCTAACAATTGCACAAATAAAAAATAATAAACTCAATATGACCAAAAATAAAATAAAATTCGATACTCTCTCACTTAATCAGTGCTTTAAAAACGAAAATTAAAAGTATCCTTCTTGTTCCCATCAAAATCAAACAAATGTCCAGTCGTTGAGCCGTTGTAGCACTCGCTACTTGTAAATTTGAACGTGAAAGATTCCTCAGGATCGTTCAAATTCAAATTCTCCATGAAACAAAAGTTTGGTTTATATTCTTCAGTTGAACAACCTGCTTGTGGCTCAAAGATATCATGTTTGCGTTTCAGTGCCGTGCCACGGGACATTGTCGAAATGACTTTTTTGGGACGCGAAGTTAAGCTCAAGAAGTGGTTTTCCAACTCGAAGGGGTCGCTTTGCAGGAAGGTGCGCTGTGAAACAAACCAAAAATTTTTATTAGATCAGTCTCTAATACAAACATTACAAACCAATGAGGCGAAAAACAAAAAACTACAAGAAATAAGCATAAAAAATTGCCAATTTAAAAATAAAACTTTCTAAAGGCTAATTTTTTTTCCATCACTTAGAAAATTTGCAAGTCCAAGGCCAAAACTTCGACGTCTGGAACAAAAATCACGACTTTTAAGCTCAGAATTTTGACTTCCAAGAGTAGGACCTTGTATACGAAACAAAACAAAACAAAAACAACTTGATACACTTTACGGATAAGGAAGATAAATAAATACAAACCTTATCAGATTCCTCCTCTTGTTCTTCCGGTGTTGACGTGGAAACCTCCACCATGTATCTCTTGTCAATATCAATCTCTTGTTTATTATTAAACCCCGACAAATCAACGTTAATTTTTTTATTCATTTCGTAGACAACTTTTCCATCGTTTCTTTTTTCAATAACGGCTGGTTTAATTCCATTTTCGTCCACTTTAGCTCTGCTGTAATTAAGTTTCCTGTTTGGGGGCGTCTGGAAGACCCAACTGGATGGAGGCACGTAGGAGAATTTCATCGGGAAATTCTCCTTCTCCTCCTCACTATAGACTCGTTTCCTACTCAACGACATATTCCTCCCGACTTGCCCCGTCAAAACTCTATTAATCAATTCAATGTCTTCCTGAATTTTCCTCTTATATTCTTTCAAATCGGGCAATTCGACAGCCCCTAATTGTCTGAATAATGTAGCCCCGAATTCGTCATCCGAGTCGGACACCTCTCGTTCAAACTTCTTCGCAAATTTACTTTTAATTTCGCGAAAAAGACTCCGATCTGAATCCAAGACAAAGTTGTTGAAATACCCTGAGACTGTGACCGGTTGGTTATTCTTCTTAGAGAGTCTCCACGAACGGCGCAACTTCGGGGGGTTCAAAGGGGCACGGTGTTCATGTTCCGGCGAGGCTAGAATTGGGATTAAACCGGAAATAAACCACTTTGGGAGCACTTACGCGACGTGGAACATTTAACCCCTTCCGAGAGAAAGCCAGGTAAAAGCTGCGAAAAGAAAACCCGATTTAATTCACCTACCACAAAAACCGTTAAGATTTGATTTTGGAGGCGGCAAAACTCAAAAGGAACTACTCACTGTCAGTCTTTCGGCGGTAATATTTGATTTTTTGGAACGAAGTGCAAAATCTCGTCGTTCGGACGAATAACGGCGCCAATTCGACACACGAGACTCCAGGGGGTGTCTAACTTGGCTTCTCCCCATTCTTCTTCCACCACAAAAAACCAAAAACACACAAAAATTAATTTAATTTAATTGACAGGTGACAGGTGAGAAAAACGCGGCGCGCGCATCGCCCAACACCGACTTGATTTGAAATAGAAACCGAAAATGGGGCCACTAGGCCCCCCATTTGCCGTCCATGCTTGAAACAAGACGCTTTTGATTCGATTTTCACCCAACACAACATTGTTTTCTACCAAAAACACCCAAAAAACAATTTGAGGAATGACAAGTGCGCGCGCATTGTCCAACACCGGCTTGATTTGTTGATTCAAAACAACAAAATGGGGCCACTGGAGCCCCCGATTTGCCGTCTGTGCTTGAAACAAGACGCCCTCGAGTCGATTTTTACCCAACACAATAAAACTACAATTGTGTACTCCGTCATGTTGGAGTTTTGCACCTCAGTACAGGTACCTAACCTCGAAATTTGATTAAATAAAATTACAAATATTTGGTTTAAGGCCGAAGTAGAGGATGGTTTACCGTCAACAATCTGCCACAAATGTGCCAAGTCACTTGTGGCATTCTACAAGTTTAAAAGACTCGCAATTGAGAATGATCTCAAACTCAGGAACAACCTAACATCAAAGAATGAAAATGGGGCGAGTCAAAGCACAATTGTAAAAAGCCCCAAAGCGAAAAAGACGCATCAGTGTGACGTTTGTGGGCTTTTTCTGAGCGGTCGGAGTAATCTGGTGCAGCATATGAAGGGGCACACGGGGGAGAAGCCTTTCAAGTGTGACAATTGTGAGAAGAAGTTTGCAAGAGTCGAGCATCTTAAAATACACAAGAGAATACACACTGGTGAAATTTAGTAAAATTGTCGATTTTTGTATCAAGTTTTTTTTAGGTGAGCGCCCCCATCAGTGCACAATTTGCTCCAAACGTTTCATCCAATATGCCACGCTTAACGCCCATTTGCGTACCCACAGTGGCGAACGCCCTTACATGTGCTCCGTCTGTGGCAAGTCTTTCAGCCAATCAAACAGTCTCACCTACCATATGAGGACTCACACGGGGGAAACCCCCTACAAGTGCAAACTGTGCGATAAGGGGTTTACCCATTCGGGCAACTTGAACAGTCACATGCGTTTCCACAATAATATAAGACCGTTTGAGTGCGAATTGTGTGGAATGAAGTTCGTAACAAGCTCACATCTAGCAGTTCATATTAAAAGACATTTGGGGGAAAAACCGCACAAGTGCAAAGTGTGCAATAAGGGATTTGTGAGGAGCGAACATTTGAAAGACCATTTGGTCATACATTCAGGGGAAAGACCGCATGTTTGCAGTGTGTGTCTCAAGGGGTACACGCAGAGTAGCCACCTGACCCGCCATATGAAAACACACAAACCGTCAAATACAGAAACCTGTAGTTAATCTAAATATAATAGTGACATAACAATGAATAAAATGGATGACTAATCCACAACATTCAGAGCTAATAATTTTTCTTTCTAATTTAATTGTTGTGTCCAATACAGGAACCTGTAATTAATTTATTTATATTTTTGTGGCATTGACATGTTATGAATAAAATTTCATTTTAATTTAATCATTTCTATGACCACATTGTCCCATCAATGACCATTTCCAGTATGACTAATCCACATTATATTTTTTTTTCTAATTTAATTGTTACGCCCAGTTCATAAGCGTACGTCATTAAAAAATATATTTGCCGACTTTCAGACCCTTATACAAAACCAAGATTTTTGTATTAAAGTTATTAATATGTGGGAATCGCCACTGAAGACTTTTCAATTGCGTTTTGGTTAAAATTTGAATCGAAACCGTTATGAAACGCCACTAGGTGCGCCGCCACTGCCTCTCGAGCAGGTGTGGTAAAGCAAGATGGCGGCTGTGCAAACACTGGTTTTGTTAGTTTTAGGTGTTTTTATAGAAAATTGTAAGTATAAATCTTTTATTTCGTTGTGATAACAATCTTATCAAGCATCTGTAACACGACCTACCGTAATTCGTTGAAAAATTTCCAAAATTATTGATTTTTTGATAAGATAAAAAGTAAACAAATGACGCTCACTTGTGTTTACTTCGATTGAAGTGAAATTATGTCAATAATTGAATTAATTAACCGGAATTAATTTTGCAGGTTTCGCACAAAGGTCCCCGACGATATCTTACATAACTCAAACCCAGATCAAGGATATTGGGGGTACAGTGGAGTTATCATGTTCGGTCCAGTACACAAACGATTATCCAGTGATCTGGATGAAAATCGACCCCAGGTCAAACGCCAACAGTTTGCCCATCTCCACAGGAAGTACGCTAATTCTGCACGAATCCAGATATTCGCTACGTTACGATGAGGTATTTGCGTGAAAACAATGATTAAAATGATCACAAAGTAAATTTGAAAATCTCAAAATCTGGTAACTTTAAGTTTTTAAGGTTGGTATTAGAAGCAGATATGCATTAGAAGAGATAAAATAAAAAAAATTCAACTAATGCATTGCATTTTGTTACTTGCCTTCAAGCATGCTTTATAACAAATGATTTATTTTTCACCAAGTGTAAGTTAGCGTTGACAATTCCCATGTCACTAAAATTTATCAGATACCAACTTGACAAATTAAATTAGAGGTAACATTTGTTATTCCAGGCGAGTTCGACTTACACTCTCCAGATTAAAGACATCCAAGAAACAGACGCCGGTTTTTATCACTGTCAAATCATCATTTCCCCCAGTAACAGGGTCTCAGCTGAGGTGGAATTGCAAGTGCGGCGCCCCCCATTCATTTCCGATAATTCGACCCGTTCAGTGGTCGTATCAGAGGGGCAAGGTAATGATTAATTAATTAACACAGTTTAAATTTCTTAATGTTGGTACAGCTGTTCAGATGGAGTGCTATGCTGGGGGCTACCCACCGCCGAGGATCTCCTGGAGGCGTGAAAACAACGCCATTTTGCCCACCGGTGGGTCTATCTACCGCGGCAACGTGATGAAAATTAAGCAAATCAAAAAAGAGGACCGCGGGACATATTATTGCGTCGCTGAGAATGGCGTCGGACGGGGGACTAAACGTAATATAGCCGTGGAGGTGGAGTTTGCGCCCGTCGTAACGGTGCCTCGGCCCCGCCTCGGACAAGCCCTCCAATACGACATGGATTTGGAATGTCACGTGGAGGCGTACCCGCCTCCCGCATTGACTTGGGTCAAGGACGAAGTCGCTTTATCCAACAACCAGCATTACAGTATTTCACATTTCGCTACAGCGGACGAATTTACCGACACCACTTTACGTGTGATAACAATTGAGAAGCGACAGTACGGACAGTATATTTGTAAAGCGTCGAATAAATTGGGGTCGGCAGAGGGCGTTGTTGAGTTGTTTGGTAAGTTAGAAGGCGTGTCCTTTGCATGCAGTAGTTATAGCCACGCCTCCTTGTAGAATCTGTCATCCCCGTGTGTCCTCCCGCTTGCGGCCAAGCCAGGTACGGCGATGCGGCCACCCTGTCGACAAGTACCGCCGCTCTGTGTTTGACGTTGCTGTTCGTCTTGTTTCGGTAAGTTTTGTTGCATCGTGTCGTTGTTGTGGAACGATGGGTGGGCGGCATTCTTGATGTTGATTGGTTGTTTCTTGCAGAGATTTCCACGCCCAACATTAATTATCCAGGCCTTGTGTGGTTGAATTCGAGTCCAAGCTCGACTTGCAACGCCGTCTTAATTTCAATTCTCACAACGACTTTGTTGTATTTGTTTTTTTAGTGAGGACCAAAAAACAGTGAGCAATATTTAATCGATAGTGTTAAGGTTTTTTACACGACATTTTGATACAATTCCATTTTTTTGTATATTTTATAGTTGACACACTCTGTAAATGTTTTATTTTTTTATTTTAATTTTTATTGCACGGTTGTGCGTAGTGTAAGGCCTAATAATTGTTCTTTGCCAAGAACAGCTCTAGTCAACAAATGACAGCTATTCTTGGTAACAACGTCAAATTTTATTTGTCCAATTCGTCCATTAAATTAATTTTTTGTCAAGGTTGTGTATTATTCAACAAGTAGAAACCACAATTTATTCAACCAATCATGATACAATATGTGTCACTCTTCAACAAATGGCACATTTCATATCTTATGATATATTATTCAACATTTTAATCTTGTTTTTCAAAACACACTGTATCTCTCGACAAGCAAATACGTAACTGTTTACTATGTTTTCACAAACGTTATGTCCATCGTTGTTTAAATTTAACGATTCCAACATCAGCGCCAAATCACTCGAAACACTAAAATTAGACCATGATTGTAAAAGATCGTTTAATTCGTTAATGTGCGTTTTTAAACAACTCGCGATCCGAATCACCGACTCCCTCCACGACGATTCGTTCACTTTTTTCTTTCCTTTTTTACCCTGTGTCGTTGGTTTCACCAAATCATTGCACAACAAACATATTAACGACGATACCGACAAAATCTAAAACATTCTTAATCAGACGAAAAACAAAAACAACTTTTGGAAATACCTCGACTATATTTACAACATACTCCATTGTTTCGCGCCTATAAACCAAATCCGAGTTTTTCTTTTCATCCTTCGTCCTGCTTTCAATCATCCCCATCATCACTTTCATCTTATCCTCAATTCTTTTCACTAACTCATCCCCTGAACAAACCTCGGACACCACTCCCAACAAAACCCGAAACATATTACCCACAATCTCAAAATGGGGCGTGTCCAATGCCACGTGAAGTCTCGAGGGGAGAGGCAAAGTGACCAAATTTTGACACAAAGAGGCGTATTTTTTATCTCTACTATCCTTACATAACTCCTCCCAATCCTTCAAAATAATATTCAGTCGTTCCATATACTTCGTTCTGACCCCATCTGATGACTTGACAATGTCCACAGCCGCTGATAATGACCACAAAACTGACGTTCGTAATTTTAGGAAAATTTTATTGTGGATGAAAAACTTTTTCATTTCTTCGTAATTTTCAGGCGGACCTTCGATACGTTCAGGGTCCCAACTCATGTAAACGCTAAGGTCGTGATTGTCTCTGTAGAGTGATTGGTTAGTTATGCCACGCCCCCTGGTGTACTACTCACCGCAACGCCTCCCAATCGATCTTATCATCTTTTGGTGATATGTCGATGTTGTACAGGGCGTCTAAATTCGTACATTCAACTAGACTCAATACTATTCTATCTATTGCTACTGTTGTATAGTGCATACTATTGTTCAGTCTTTCCCTAAAATCCATGAATTCATCCAGTTTTATAAATGAGCCGTATTTGTACGAAAATGTTATGTGATCCGAACTCTACAAATTTAATTGACAAAAAATCAAATTCATGACAAAACCTCAACTCACATCTTTGTAATTTGAAGAGAAGAATTTTAACGTGACATCAAACAAATTCAAACAGAGGGAATACAAACCGGTGGTTGATAATCTCGCACAATGAATGAAACCTAACGAATCTAATTGCAAATGTTTCGTATCTAAACTGTTGTACATGTTTTGCGCACCGAGACAACCGCCTGAAATCACTCAATTACCAAAAAAAAAATTGACAAAAACTGAATACATACCCACGGTATGATACAACCTCACACACAACAACTTTGCATGAAAATTACTAGGACTGTTCTTGAGCATATTCTCCAATAAGACAAGAGCGGCAACAATTGGTCCGGATTTACGTTCCGTTTGCGATAAATCGTACAAAACGTGCGCCGCCAACAGTGCATAGGGGTCAGAAGGACCCAAATCGGTCGACAGTAAATTAGTGCCGTAAGTTTGGTAACCGTGCTCGTAGTGAAGCGAAAATGCAGTAACTAAAGCTTTCAAATGGTCCGAAGTGAGATTACGATGGGCCCCACACAAACGGGACAATTGGAGGGCGCACAAGTGACGCTGCATCTGCTGTTCCTACAAAAATACAAGCGTAGCGAGTGCATTAATTTTTACATTTTTTCTTACCGATTGAGGCACACTTGTCGAACTGATCCCCACATCCTTGATAAGTCTCGTCGACAATTCTGCCTTTTTTTCAGCATCTAATAAATTCAAATAGAGACGTAAATCGGACACACAACAAGGTTTGTGCCCGAACTTTCGAAAATACTCGATAAATAATTCTATAGTTTCCCCCAGGACGTCACTAGTGTCAATATTACGTTTCATGAGGCGTGCACAAAGCTCAAACCGGGCTAAATATGGCCCCCTTAACAAAAACCCTAAAAATTATAAATAATAAAAATTAATTAGGAGGGTTTAAAGTACCATTATCGGCCCCATTTTCGACGATGCGGCAAATAAATTCGTGACATTTCTCCGGAGTGTCATCCACCGTTTCTAAATCATTCTCGGGGGCCCCATTATCATGATTGTTACTTTCGTGAGAGGGCTTGGCCTCCATTAGTGCAAAAACCGAGTTGATGTACTCCTTCCAAATATCCCATCTATCTACACTGGAAATTAAATCAAGTGAGCCCCAATTTTGCTCCTTGTCTCACCTTACCTCTCAATTAAAATCCCCTTGCACAATAAATTCACTTCATCCCACCATTTGAGGGGCACTAAATATTTCAATTTGTTGTGGGGTTGGTTACTACACGCTAGTTTAGTGCCAAGGGGGCCGTCTAGTATCGCCATAACCTCTTCATATTTTTCCTGAAGCTCCAAAACCATGATATACAATTGGACTTCCTGCTCAGCGTCGAGTTTTCCATCGACTATCAATTTTTCCATCATGCGTTCGGCAAGACTGAGCAATAAATTGCGTTTTTTGGGGTCGTTTTTTCCCTCACCGCGTGTTGCTTGCAAAATAATACTCATAACGGCCCAGCAATAGTACGGGGTTTTGGGTTTGTGCTTGTAGAGGGTCATTGCGGTCTTTTGTTGCGATTTGAAGTCAAAAACGCGCGCATACGACATAAATAAATGCGTGAAAAGTTCCTCATTTGTCGGCTCCAACTTCACTGCAGTCTCATACAATTTACAGATTTTTTCAACTAAAAGAAATACGTTATTTTCGAAGTGGCACACAAAAGACTCACGTTGTTGCAGTTCCCTGTAACACAGAGTCATCGCCTGGAGTGTGGCGTCGTCTGTGGGGCTTTCCGCAGTTAAGGCTTCCAGAATAGCCACCGCTTCCGACTCCTTGCCCATTCGATGCAAAGTGAGGGCTTTCAGTGCTTTCGCGCATAGCAAATTCGGAGTCTTTTTCAGTACTTTATCACACTCTTGGAGAGCTTTCTTGTTGTTGCCGATATCTAACCAATCTGAAACATAACCTCACTTTTGCAAAACACAATTGTGTGCAACTGGACGAATTTGTGCACGTCTTACGTGGGGGGTTAAGGGGGGG